TTTGTACCAGAACAAAGTTATTTTTTATCTATCTGTCTGTCTAATAGAGAAAATGTATTTTGTTATTTATTCTTTATTCTTTTCATAAAATTGTACACTCATACTGTTTTCCATTGTTTATAGTTTTAAGTGTTTTGTACATAGTTTTGTTTGTTTTTTACATGTATAGCTCCTTCATCTTCATATTTTATTCGGTTTTTTAAATTATGTTTATCGTTTCAAACCTGTAGGTCAGAAGTATTTTTTTCTTTTTGTACTATTTTCTTTTTCTCAAGCTACTTTGTCCCAAAATAAAGTTACTTTTTATCTATCTGTCTGTCTAATGGAGAAACTGTAGCCGGCTTTTCATTTACTGGCACGACCTTCTTGTATGAAGGTCTTTGTTTTTTTTTTATTTTAAACAAATATCCCGCACATTTTTTTATATATTTATATTTTATTTGCTCTAAATATTCATATCACTATTATACTTTATGTATGTTCATAAATTTTGAAAATTATTTTATTTCAGCTTCGAAATCTATTACACGGTGGGCCAGACCCCCTACCGTGCACCCCTCCCACATCCGTATAAATCGCATATCGTTGTGTTCCTTGTAATTATTTATTAAAAAAAAGCCAATATTTCCAAAAAAAGTGAACGAACTGCCCCAAAATGGCGTCCAAACATGGCCGACTGATGATTTTGACCTTAGTTAGTTTTTTGGTCACTGTGAATCAGCATTTGGCTTACTTTCGTTATGGTTGGTCTTTTATAGTCAGAAAATAATAAAACATGAAAAAATATTAAAAAATAATTGGCTTAAGCAATAAAAAACACCAGTAAAGTCAATTTTTTTAACAAAAAAGTTTTAAGATGAAAATCAAGCGTCGTTTGTATTTAAACGGCCAACAATAACTCAAAAAGTGCTGAGATAAAACATCTGTAGAATATATTTCTCTTTCTAAAACACTGAATTACTTTTTAAAATATTTGAAGCGGTTCAGTAGAAAATGCACATAAGCGGCAGAAAAGTGGTACAGGCGTGGGTGCCTACAGGCCTCTATCGCACCATTCGGTGCACATAAATGGCTTAGTTATAGTGATATAATAACGTTTTTGTACATTAAATTAATTTTATTAACGTACAAATATTAATGCAATAATTTAATTGTCCAAAAATATTTAAATTATTTTTTTAATTTGTTATTTTATTTGTTCTTTCTTTTTTAAATTTAATTTCCTTTATTCTATAGGAAGGTCATTTAAGAAGGCGTCTATTGTAATAATGATATAATTATAATGATAAAACTTAATTCAAAAATACTTTGCTGAATATCTTGAAATTTTTATTTAACGTTTGCAATTTAACACTTTGTTTTGTATATTTGATGATTCTTAAATGAGGTAATTTAAATTATATATACTTCTCCGGAAATGATTCATATTAATACCTGTTTTATTAACTAAAATAATATATAACTAATATGAACTACATATAATGAATAGTTGCTGGGTTGTTTAGTAAAACTTATATATCACTAATAAATAAATTAATTTTCATTTCCTTTATTTTATTCGGAAGTTGCACCACATCATAAAAAATTATGAAATTTTAATATTGAATGCATTATTCTCTCTACACAAAGAAAGATGGAAAGAGCGAAGTTATAAGTTCTTCTAGGTAACCGGAACTGATTATTTGGTCTTAAAATGAGGGAAAGCGCGAAATCGAACCGAAAATACATTAAGCAAACGAGAAAGAAAGTGCCAAGATCTTGGAAAAGATAACAAGGATCAGTATCCTTTATATGGCTAAACGAATATATAGTAAAAAGATGAACAAAATATTTCAAGATGCTGCTAAAAGGGGCTCAAATACTGGGGCACTTTTGATGATATTAAGGGAGCGACGTAGTTTTATTATGGTGAAGACCATTTTATCAGCAAGAAAGATTTGTTCGGAGAAATTGGCAAGTCAGTTGGTCTGGACGAAAAAAACAGAACAGTTTCGCACTGTTTTGCGCGTACATAGGCAATAAATGTATTAGAAAATAATATGAAAGGACTGTAGTTTTGTCCCTTTACAAGATAGGAGATACTAGAAAATGTAATACCCATCGAGATCCATTCCTTAGGCACACTAAAAAAGCTCTATTCAAGGATCGTAGAAGCTAGAATAAGATATATTGTCGATTGCCAGAGCAATATGGGTTGAGGAACTCAAGTTACACATGGGACAGACGTTGCAAATTGGGACTGTCTTCACTTTAAGGCAGGTTATAGAGAATTCCATCAAGAAAGAAAAATAGTTCGTTATCTGCTCAGTACCTCACACTTTGGATTGTGCTAATATCTACTAGTCTTTCAGAAAAGCTGAAAGAATAATTTCACATTCCTTAAAAATCTTTTGCAAATGCACTAAACAGAAGGAAAAATATTTCCCTTTCTCTATAGACCTCTGTATAACCTGCTTCAAAGTGAAGATAGTCCCAATGTACAACTTCAATAGCAATCGAAAATAAAGTTGTTTTCACCATAATAAACCTCGTTTACTTAGTCCACACCTGCTGACTTGCCAATTTCTCCGAACAAATCTTTCTTGCTGATAAAATGGTCTTCACCATAATAAACCTACGTCGCTCCCTTAATATCATCAAATGTGCCCCAGTATTTGAGCCCCTTTTAGCAGCATCTTGAAATATTTTGTTCATCTGTCTACTATATATTCGTTTATCTATATAATGGATACTGATCCTTGTTTTATTTTCCGAGATTTCGGAACTTCCTTTCTCGTTCCCTTAATGTATTATTCCAATTTTTGGGTTCAATTTCGCGTGTATCAGCTCCGGTTACCTATAAGAACTTATAGCTTCGCTCTTTCCATATTTCTTTGAGAGAGAGAATAATGCATTCAATATTAAAATTTCCTAATTTTTTATGATATGGTCTGGCCCACGGACTATATCTTTTTGGTGGCAAGAGACCCGGTGGGAGGCTACAACCTAGATGGATGGATTGAATAAAAAAATATGCTCCAGAGCTGCATTGAAAGGAATACCCCTGAATACACAGAGGTGGAGAAGGCTGGTTCAGGCTCCAAAAGATTTAGACGATATTTAAAAATGCCATTGTAAAAAAAAAATATTGAGCCAATTTATTATTATACTCAGGAAACCAGTTTAATTTAAATTAGGATTTGAGACAAATAGAGGGAAAATAAAATAAATTCGCCATAGTCATTGACACGTTTGAAGGCAACAATAACTAAGTCACAAACAACAAAACATTATTTATATAATAAATTATACAGTTCCTTATTTGAGTTGATTTAGCATAAGTATTTTACCTTAAAAAATCAGATACTAATTGAATTGTTCATGAATATACACGACCGAAATGTAATACATTACCAATCAATGGTAAGTTGTTCTAATGAACTATTGAAATTAAATCTATCATTTATCATTCATTATATATGCATATATTGACATCATTATTTATTCATTATAAGCAATAAACACTTGGACAAACTACCTCCTTGCTTATATAACACCGCTTTGTCTTTGTTTCTTTTCACCATTGCACATGATGTCTTTTAACAAATTACTATTGGTCTGTGCTGTAATTCTGGCTGTGGTGGCTGTGTCCGTTTTTGGTAACTATTTCATTTGTATAAAAGATTGTATGTTATTAGAAAAAAATTAACTTAAGTTAAATATTAAATTAAATTAAAGCATTTAACTTTAGTCAGCAAGCTAGTAGTCCATTTACACCGTTTTACAAACTGGTAAAAATACGAATTTTTCCAGGGTCTGTTGAAATCTAAAACAAGGGGGTTTAAGTAAATTACTTTCAGCATGTTTATTAATGCGAGATTACTTAGACGATCATGTACCTTAATTCACGTTTTAGACACATTGCTGTCGAAAAAGAACGTTCTCCGCTGTCAATGATAGCCAGACTTACAGCGTATAAAACTAATTAATACATATTCATCAGGTAATTTTTTGCACCGTAATTCACAAAATGCCGGCATCTCTTCTTCTGTCTGGTAAAAATAAAAAGTTAATTTATTTAGAATTAAAAAAACAAGAATAAATTAAATTTAGGTCAGAGATAAATAAACAAAATAAATTAGGCTCTTGATGACCTTGAAAATTTTCGTGTTAAAATCCCAACAAACAAACAAGAATCAACTGTTTTATGTAATATACAAATGACGAATTTTCATTGTTTGGCTATTGGTGATTGTTTGCTGCGAAATGACAAATTTTCGTCACGAGGACGAATAGGTGCTAATAATAATAAATAGTTAAAGGAGCCCGATGTTATCGCCAACTCCTGTCTACAATGAAATAAATTTATGAATATTGTCATATATTAGTTTATTATTTTATTTTACGTACAAATATATTTGAAAATATAATAACAAGGCAATTAAATATATTAAAAGTGTGTATCTTTGTATAAAGGTTTGAGGTAGTGATATGAGTTTTCAATCCTCAGATGCTTAAATTTGCTCCGCGAAATGTGATAAAATCTGCACGTAAATGGTAGAGTGCACATGAGTGAACCATAAAATCCTAGGATATGTTGCTACATTTAATTATCTTTGATTATAAACATATAATTTAATAATTGGAACATAGGGTGTTGCAAAATACTTGCTTACCTACCTACTTCAAGGCCATCTAGTCGACTTTTACTGTTTCCTTAATTGCTTTTATCATACATATAGATTATTTGTTATTGATTTTTATTTTATTTTTATTCTTCGAAATATTGGAAGAGGGGGACGAAACGATATTTCGATATACTCCTCTCTATTTTTATTGGGAAAAGCCATCGTTACCTCCCCCCCTCTCGAAGTTTGCTCCTATTTTTGTGGGGACATAAATAGTAATAAATAAGATACCATCTTCTAGCTTCTCGTTCATGACAAAGGTTTTAAAAAGAGGAATATTTTTCTAAAGTATGCTCCTTGATGATTATTAATATATTTGTTTTTGTCTTGTAGGAATGGACAACGTACTGCCAGTATTGCGATCCCCAGACCAAGGAATTGATGTAACTATTTGATTATTTTACAATTTATTTATTCCCTAACACACGCTCACACCTCATAAGCCAAAATGTTAAAATATCCTAAATTAAAGGAGATTGCCTGTTTTACACGATTTAATAATTTTTAGAATTGTAGTTATGTACCAACAAATTAGAATATGATATATTTTTTTAATATTAACAAAAACAACATTAGCATAAACATGTAAATACGTTTATACTATATTGATAAAATAATTTAGTTAAATACTTTTTTATTTATATTATATATTTGGTTTTATTTATGAAAAAACCTTTAAATTTCTAAGATTTTTATAATTTTAATTTTAATAATAATAATTACCAACTTTAAACACATGTAGTATATGGAACTTTCATGCTGTTAAATATTATCGACATATAAATTATTTATGTCACATTTCAGGTTCCTTTTTTTAATATCTAGTCTTCTAACTCTTGAAATTTTAATATATTCTTTGTAAAGTAATGTATCACCAATTTATTGTTACAATGCTGAAAAAAAAATTTTAATTGATCGACACAACTTTTTTTTTAGGAAGCGAAGGATACGAAATGAAGTCCTGTCAGATATTTAAACCAAAATACGAATGTACAGCATGATTTCTGAGCGATGAAAGTTGAAATGGAATTATCTGACTTCAATTACCTGGAAGCGATAACTTAAAGTAAATTTAACTAATAATTCAAAAGGAAAAAAAAATAAGTGTATATGTATTAATCTTGTTATGAAATCCATATTGTGCATTTAAATTTGAATAATATACAATTTCATATTTATGACCTCTTCATATTAATAACCTAGATTTATTCAATCATTCAATATATCAATCTCCTATTAAAATAAAAATGTTTTAAGAAGTTCCGAAAAATTTCATAAGTTAATTTTTTAATTTTATATATCATTATTTAATTAAAATTCCGGAAGGTTGTCTTTTTCATGTGATCAAAGAAAATTGAGGAAATTTTTACGAAAATGTCTTCAACCGTTTTGAAAAAGAACAGTGCCGCCGATCATATTAAAAGAGTAAGTTTCCATCAAATATTTACGAAATTACTCTTTGGTCGCAGTTGAAGGAAATCGTCATGCTTGACTTTTAAACTTGTAATTGCCTATGCTAACAATAAGTTGGTTTTCTAAATAAAATTAAAAATTCTGACATTTTCCTTAAAAGGATTCACACGACTTTCCTCCCTATTTCAGAAAAGTGTTTGTATCTTAAGGTAGATTAGTATAAAGTTTTCAATACCCTCTAATATTGCTGATCAAAAAACTTTTTGCCATAGCCTAATTTTGACAAACAATAATTTCTGTTAAAGGTAGAGGTAATAAACAATAAACAATATTTAAGCCTATATGAAGAAGGTAACAGATTTTCTTAATTTCGCTAAGTTATCTTTTTTCTCTCATTCATCACTTTCTGACACCAGGATATGTACCCATAATCTTACATTGGAAATTGATTTTTATATAGTTTTATAGGGAGTTAGGCCCAAAAACATTTTTCTTTTCTTTATAACTTTTTTTCTGAATTTATTTCCATGTACGAAAATTTAAAGGACAATTATTAGAATATAAAAGGAAAGTTTCATAAAAATCGTTTGGGCCGTTTTTGCGCTACAGTCTATAGAAAATCATGTTTTTCATTCATTGTGCAGTAGCTATTGCGCATGGAGCACTCAATTTGTGTCACAGGCATCCATATTCAAATTCCTACAAAATAAAAAAAGAAGAAACAAAATCGATCCACTAGTTCCCGAGAAAATGTAAAAAGTGTTTTTCAGACTCAGAGGGCTCTGAAACGTATAAATCCGTCGAAAACTGCATATCGGGAATTTGATCCGATCGCAATACTTTTCTAACCTAGTATAGGTAGGAAAGTAAAAAGAATATCCCATTCTATGGGGTTTGACGGAAAACCCCTAACGGGGGTTTGGATATGGGTTGATGAATAAACCTGATGGCCGCTGCACCAATATACAGGCCGAAACTAACGCCATAAAGAATTAGATATGGTGATGAATCAGATCAATAGCAGCTCAAATAGATCAAACACCCGATGATTGATCACGTGTCTGGGATGGCGCCTTTTGATCCAGAATCCCGAAGATAAGAGCTAAATAGAAAAATCATTTTATAAGAAAAATGTCAAGTTAAAATAATTATCGGTTTTAATTCATGGATCTGTTATTGATTGATATAAATAAAATAAAGTGATATAAATATATAAAGTGTCCTGTACCTCGGTGGTAAAGGACACCATGTCCCTTTTTTAATTAAATAATTAAGTAACTGCGAAACAAATTTTAATAGCTCAAAGTTATGGAAAATTGTTTCCCCAAAAAAATACAAAAATGTTACATGGTGTGCTTTACCTCCGCAATACAGATTTAATAACAAAGAAACAAATTTTAATTTGCTCAAAGTTATGGAACATTGGCTCTCCTGATCAAAAATAAAATGGACATGATGTTGTTTACCTCTGGTGTACAGAAATATTCCTTCATAATAACAAGTTCTTTCGGTTTTTCTGTTTATGTTTATGTCACTATGACACACTTCTTATCTGATGAATTAATCCCTAAGGTGGATTGCTTATCATCTTTGTACTATGTCAACAACTATATCTGTTAACTCTTCTTGAAACTAGCTTAGTATTGTGTTTGCTATTGCATTGTGAATATGGAGAAATAAATTATTCATTATCGGCATATTTTTTTGTATTATTTTAAACAAGTTAAGAGTGCTGCAGAAGTTTATAGAAAAATTTGCAGTGCTTATGGGAATGATGTCTTAATCGAACGCACCTGTCAAAATTGGTTTGCCAAATTTCATTCAGGATACGGTCTGGTCGCAAACATGAGATTGAAACGAACAATGCTAAGGCCATTGTTGGTTGATCAATCTGTGCGAGAGATCTCTATGACTCTAAATGTGTCCAACACAGGCTTGAAAACGCATTTGCACAAGCTCGGCTGTTTCCAGCTTAACGAGGGGGGTCGCTCACATGATTTTTTTTTCGAAAATCACAAAAAATGTTATAACTTCATTACGACTTTAGCTATCTATAAGACATTTAGCAGGAATTTAGATCCACCTAAACTGCACAAGATGGCATCAACAGGGCTATTTAACCAAACTACAAATGGAGACAAAAAAAACCTATAAGGAGTTTTTGTTTATTCATTCCTTATGTGGGCATTAAATCAAAAATTTATTCATACGGCTTTGAAGAGCAATGATTCAGCTTTTCTAGGGATATATTAACATCGAATTAAGAGAATATCCCTAAGAGTTATGAATGATCGAAAGTCTTTTTTCCCACTCGCAATAAATTATTGAGCCTAGATGGTACCTTTTGCCCCACCCTCCCTATTCAGACCTAGCTCCAAATGATTACCATTTATTCCAGTCTCTGTAGAACTCCATGAATGGAAAGAAATTCCAAAAGGAAGAGGACATCAAAAACCATTTGGATTATTTTTTTAACAATTAACTTCAGACATTCTATGAACATAGCATTATGCAGTTGGTGGAAAGATGGGAAAAATTTATATTCAATAACGGTCAATATATTGTAGATTAAAATAAATTTTATGTCTATAATACATTGAGTTATATTTCACCCTGAAAAACCGAAAGGACCTATATATCCGATTATTATAACTATCTTAAATTATATATATCGGTATTATATTGATAACAATATATGTGATAGCCCGAAATCTTCTATTGATTTTAGGAATATTTTTTTTCTTTAAACAATTTCTAAAAATGACTTGGTGAAAATAACAAGTTGGTTTGGAATTCGGTGTTCTTTAGTCATTTCCATAAACGTTTCAACTACGAATATTCGTCCAAGGTCGTGGACCTATTGAGATACTATTGGTCTCATTCGACATCAAATCTAATTGTACATTATGTCTGGGTTCCATTCGTTTGTTGATGAAATGAACCGTTTCTTGATCAATTATTAAAAAGTTTCGAAAAACGTGATTGTGTACAATTATATACTATTTATAGAATCATAAATGATGTACAAATAATACGCAAAGATGTGATCTTGACATCAGAGTCGTTCAAAGAGGCAGTTATCTCTCGATCCTCTCCATCGCTATAGATAACAACTTAATCTAACTGAATATATAGTAGTATTTATTCACCTTGCCTTTTAATTCGACAGAACCTGCAGAGCCGGCTGTTACGTTTGTTTCCCTCAAATCTCTACCAGTTCTTTAACCAAGATGACTAAACTCGACTCGAAGAGTGCGCTAACAACAGGAAAGATGAAGATGCCTATTGTGGGTCTAGGCACCTGGCAGGTAATTCTGTCTTATTATATTTAGAATATTAAATAAAATAATATGTATATATATTTTTCCTCACTAATAATCCGGTTTTATATTGTTAATACTACTGCTTGCTATGTAGTTTTTGAATAGTTCTCTATTTTGTGGAAATTTTATAAAAAACATTAGCGTTTATAGTATTAATTGAGCCTTTGTGTTGACAAAATGACTAACTCCAATTTAAAAATGTTTGACTAAAGTCATTTTAGTGATGTTTCTAGTTGGAAAGTTTGTAATATCTGTATAGACAACGAGTAAATTGATTCCAGAATAGTTTATTACAGTGTTGAAATATAAGATATAAAACTGAATAAAGTTATAAATTTTTCCACTAGAAATTTCACTAAAATTAATTATCGAAAATGTTGAAATTAGGGTTAGGTATTCAGTCAACTGAAAGACTCAATTCAGCTTTAACATTTTTGCTTCCAAAATTAATTGGGCTGAGTACAGTAAACTAGAAATTGATATTGATTTATTTGGTTATATTTTAGGTGCCGTGTGCAACTTTATAGGTTAGAGGCACCATCTTGATTGTTGATTTACATTTCAATATGTCTTATGTATGTAAAATTTTGGATGTGTATGTTGTTAGTATTTTTGTTTAAAGAACGTGTTGTTACAACTGAATAGGTTATTTCTAATTTACGTTGTGAATTCGTTTATGAGGATGATATTGTTTAAATATGTCTGTAGTAATTGTGTTTTTTCAAAAATTGGAATAGGTGTTTCTGATTTCCAGGTTGTATGGCTTGTCGATATCCTAACAGCAGATATGAGGTCCTTGATGAATCTAAGCTCGGACAATTTTCCAAGATGTGAAACATTGTTAAAGCTGTATCACAGCTGCGACATCTTGGTGGCGAACTTCCGTCGAGTAGATGAGCATGCGTGAGCCTGGTGTGCCCTATTCTGAGGCGTGTAATGATAGTCTGCTCCCGTCGGTTTCCTTGAATCTCTGGAAGTGGATTCATGTCATGAAACATTCTTTTCATTTTGTTTGTGATAGGAACCTTTGCCCAACAATATCGCCAGGCCTCTCTACACTGGTTCAAAATTGCGTTATTGTAATCGTATAGCGCTATTTTATTGTCTGGTGCTGGAAGTATGGTGGATGCTTCTTTTGCGGCGCTATCAGCTAGTTCATTGCCTGGTATTCCTATGTGACTGGGGACCCACAAAAATGTTATTGTTTTTTTTGTAATTTGAATAATTTGTATAATTTGGAAGACAATGGGGTTGTTGCATGATTGAAAGTTCTCTATTAGTTTTAGGGCTGAGTAGGAATCACTAATAATTAAAATGTGGTCATTGTTAATTTCGTTGATTATTATATCTAACGCTAAATATATGGCAAAGAGTTCGGAGGATAGGACTGAATAAATGGAGGGTAGAGAGTAGCGGATGGTCTCCGTAGGTAGAACAACGGAACATCCAACATGTTCTGATTTTTTCGACCCATCGGTATAAATGCATGTGTACTTTTCGTAGTTATTTATATGAGCTAAGAAGAGTTGTTTTAGTGCTACTGGTGGGCTATTTAACTTTTTTTTGTTTTTTAATGAAAAATCGAAAAGTGTTCTACTATTTGTCCAAGGAGGTAAAGGGTTTACGTTTGATTTGAACAGCTTTGGAAGTGTGTACGTATTGATTAGTGGCGGGTAGTTGGCAAGGCGAGTTGGTAATTTATACGTCGAGAAGTCAAAAAAGTCTGTAGTTACTTTTAAGCGTCCTAAAAACTTTAACAAAAGAAAGTGTCTGCGTAGTTCTAGCGGCCATTCATCAGCCTCCCAGAGCAGACTGTTAATAGGGCTAGTCCTGAAGGCTCCGGTTGCTCGACGGATCATTGAATGGTGTACTGGATCTAGCTTGTTTAATATTTTCTTTGAGGCATCCCCGTATACTTCGCATCCGTAGTCAATAATCGGCCTTATTAGACATCTGTATAACCTCAACAAGGAAGTTCTATCGCAGCCATAAGTAGTACCGGAAAGTGATTTTATTAAATTGCACTTCTTTGACAATTTGGACAGTAGTGTTTCGATTTGTAGTTTCCACGTCAGTCTTGAGTCCAACATTACTCCTAGATGTCGAATTGAATCGCGTTTGTTCAAAGGTCGATTTCCAATATGTGCTGTAAGTGGTTGGGTACATCTACGAATTCGACAAAAGTGGATAGCAGTGGATTTAGAAAGACTAAACCTGAAGCCACAACTAGCGGCCCATGTTTCAAGGCTGTTGAGGGACTCTTGTATAACATATTGCCCAAAGTTTACATCGGTAGAGCTGTAATAAATCAGGACGTCGTCAGCGTATAGTGCAACATTCACAGGTTTTGGTATGAACGATTTGATATCGTTAATGGCAATGTTGAATAGGGTTGGGCTTAGAACAGATCCTTGCGGAACACCGTTGTGTAGTTCGAATTTGTTTGAAAAAGTCGAGCCAGCACGAACGTTGAAATTCCGATTATTGAGAAAGTTTTGTATAAAAAACAGAATATTGCCCGAGAATCCCCAATCCTGAAGGGATTTTAGAATTTTGTTTCTCCAGCATGAGTCAAATGCACTTTCTAGGTCTAAGAAAACTGCGAAAACATGCTGATTTCTAGTAAACGATGATTTTATAAAGGAATTAAATTTATAAAAGATTGTGCATTGTTGATTTAGTATAACGGAATCCGCATTGTTCGCTGTCTAGTAGATGCCTTGTCTCTAATTCCCATAAAAGGCGGCGGTTAATTATTTTTTCGGTCACTTTGCAGAGAACTGACGTAAGAGAGATGGGCCTATAATTTTGTACGAGTTTTGGATCTTTATTGGATTTCAGTATAGGGATTACTGTTGCCGATGACCAACTTTTAGGAAAGTCTCTATTTATCCACATATTGTTGAGGAGCGTCAACAACAGGTCAGTTACTCTTGTTGGTAAGCGCTTTATAAATTCAATGTGAATCTGATCTGGACCTGGTGATTTGGAACGAGATGAACTAATACTTTGGTTTAGTTCATCTAATGTAAAGGGTAAATTGTAGGGTTCATTATCAAGGGTAAGATAAGGAGGGAACTGAAGTTCATGAAGTGCCGAAGGATTTTTTGAAATACTAGATAAGTGCTGCCCAAAGGCATTAGCTATTTCCTTAGGCTCGGTAAGAATTTTTCCATTGTAAGCTATCGATCGCGGAATATTGTTAATTTGTCTGCCTTTTATGGCTTTTATTTTATTCCATACTATTTTCGTTGAAATTCCGGTTGAGATGGAAGATATAAATTTTGTCCAGCAATTTCTTTTTGCCTGGTTGATAATCCACCGCGCTTCTGCCCTGGCTTTATGGTAATTGATATGATTACTTAATGATGGACGTGTTTTTAAAATTTTTAAAGCTCTATGCCGTTTCGTCAAAGCAGCACGACATTCGGGTGTCCACCAAGGAACCGTTCTTAAATATTTAGATGGTTTGGTTTTAGGGACCGAGAGGGTAGCAATTTGAACAATTACTGAGGCAAACCTTTCAAGATTTTCTCCGTGAGATGAGGAAATTTCAAAATGTCTAAAGTTATCGCTACAAGCTTTTGTAAAATTCTTCCAATTGGCTTTGTCTATCCTCCATTTCCCGATAGACTGTGGAAGAAACGGGTCAATTTGCAGTGAAAGCAAAAGAGGTAGGTGATCACTACCTGCAAGATCACAATGGAAGTAAGACTGGGGAATTATATTAAATGAGCGAGAGGCTAAGCAGAGGTCAATAGAAGTCCAGGTTTGGTGGGCTCGGCTATAGAAAGACTGCTCACAGGGGCTGCAGAGTATGAGCGAAAATTCATCTATAAGAGAGTCTATTATTTTACCCCTTGCATCAGTTCGATGATTGATGCCCCAAGTCGGACTGTGAGCGTTCAGATCTCCCATTAAAAGGAATGGAAGAGGAAGTTCGAGTAATAGATCTCGAAAATCATTATATGTGATATTTTCTGAGGGATGTAGATAAATAGAACATATCGTAAACTGAACTGGAAGATGAACGACAACGGCTACTGCTTCCAATTTGGAGGATAAATTAATAGCAGTATAACTGATGCCTTTCTTAATGGCAAGAGAAACTCCTCCGCTAGCATGAGGAGTACGACGGACTGTTTTGTAAATAGAATTATATAAAGATTTTAAAATAGTTTGGTTTTCTTTTAGATGGGTCTCTTGAAGAGATAATAGTGAGGGGTTATAATTAGAAATCAACAACTGTAGGTCATTATAGTGACGATATACACCATCACAGTTCCAATTTAAAATAATCATATGATTTAATGTTATAAGTTATAATCTAGTTATGGGGTACTAGAAAAGTTAAATGTGAGTGTTTTCACTAACAGAAGTGTTTCTAAGGTAATTTTTCAAGCTGTTTATGACTTTAGTAAATCTGCTCTTTAAGCTTTTTGTTGGAAGAGCTGAGTATAAATCTGAAAACATAGAAATGATGGAATCGAGGTCATCGGTTAAGTCTAGTGCTGCCGATACCGGATCTTTTGTGATTACAATGGTTTCTAAAAATGTGTGTAATTGAATGAAGGAAAGAGGATAGTTTTTGTCAGGTGATTCTACATGTTTCTTCAAAGGTAGTAATGAATCGGTCAGAGTTTTATTTTCCGTGTTAATTTGAATGTTAGAGGTTTTAGTTTCCGCGGTAATTTGGATGTTAGAGGTATTTCTACTGTTAGAGGTTATGTTTTGTAGGCCTTCATTAATCTGCAAGTTACCTTTTTTATCTTGTTCCGGTTCGTTGGGATCATGGTGACTGCTAGAAGGAAGACTTGTTGTTGAGGTAATTGGATTCGTTGATGTATTGTTTTTATTATTTAACTTCTCCTCTAAAACTTCGATTTTCTCAACTAAACCTTCAATTATTGAAGAAAGTTTCCCTATTTGTTGGATTATTTCGATACTAGGTGCTGGAGTGGACACAATCTTAGAAAAGCTGCCCAGAGGAAGAACTGTAGGTGTTTTATTTTCAACTATTCTTTTGGCCACCGGATAGGGTACTCTATCGGTTACCCTTACCTTTTGAATTTCCTTTTCTTTCAGAAATGCAGGACAGTTTCGAGACCACGCAGGATGTTGATCAGAACAGTTAACACATTTCAGAGGTTGGCTGCACTGATCTTCGTGTTGAGTAAGCCCACATTTGCCACAGACTTTACGTTGGCATTTCGCCGATACGTGGTTGAATGAGAAGCAATTAAAACATCTTATAGGATTTGGGATATAGGGTCTTACTTTTATGTTTATGAAATTAAGTTTAAGATGATCCGGTAACACGGGCTTCTCGAAAGTTAGGATAATCGATGATGTTGGTATCTTCGTTTCTCCTGACCTTCTAAAAATTCTTTTCACTTCCACGACTCCTTCGTCACGTAGCTCTTCTTTAAGTTCTTGTTCTGAACAGATATTGAACTCAGGACAGGTTATTATTCCTTTTGTGTAATTCAAAGAAGGGTGGAAAGTGAAATTCAAGGCTGAGTTTTCGTATTTCTTGATATTTTGTAGATTAAAAAAATCCTTTTCATTGACCACTTCTAGTAGTACTTTGCCACTTCTTAAAAACTTCACTTTTGTTTGCGGAGCAAAACTTTGAATAAACTTACAAACTTTGAATGGGCTTGTGTTTAGGAAAGTCTTATCTTCATCTGCAAAAGATACTTCGATATATTTTCTTACCCATGATGTTCCTGGCCGTCTTGAGCACATGGAGAAGATATCGGGAGGCTTCGGTTCCTTAGTCCCTGACATTTCACTTTCCAACTTTGGTTTTGGAGAGGTGGTAGTTTTTTTTTTGGGAATAAGTTTCCAAAATTATAGTTTGTGCCTTTCTGTACTTTCGCCTATACGATCTCACTTCCAAAAGATGTTTGTGCTTGAAATATTTCAATTCAAATATAGAATTAAATTTTTATGATATTTACTTTTCAAGCGATCATATGTTTTTCGAAATTGATATTGATTTACCAATCAAGCTTGTTCATGCAATCGTACTGTAATGTATTTAGAATATAAATAATTCAAAGGAAACATTAGAATAATAGGACGTTAGGATCCCTTCGATTAGCGGAAAGTAATTTGCTACTCTAAGATAGTGGTCAGTTCCAAGATGATCCAAAACACGCTATTCCGAGTACCCCGATAAAACCGAAAATAACCGAGTATTGACAATTCTTCACATCCGGCACATTAATTTTTTTAGGTTAGATTATATTCCCAACCTTCTTACTTTTATAAGCGTTCCAACTTGAATTGCCTTTTATATCAGGACTGAGCTCCAGAGGTCGCGGTCCAGCCAATCTCCATCCGGAGGACCTCGGCCCGCCATTTCTCTTCCTCTACTCCACGAATCCATCTGCCTCTGGATCGACCCCGTCTCCGCCTTCCCGGCGGTTGCCAATCCAGAACTAGATTCGCCAATCTCTCTGTCAACATTCGCCTTACATGGCCGTACCACCTTAGCCTTCGCTATCCGATTCTGTTGTTGACTGATATATGAACCTCCATCCTCTCCGGAATGACATCATTCCGAAGTCTGTCCATTCTTGTTATACGTCTCGTTCCACAGAACCGGGTGCAGCATGCGTGTGGCTTTTTCTGTTTTTCACCGGACGTCTGTTTCGAAGGATCCAGAGGAGTCGAGGTAAGATCCGAGATATTTAAAAACGTTCATCTTTATACATGTCTCAGAGTCAACATGTAGATCATCGTCATTTCCAGCGCATGTAGCCATGTATTAAGTCTTCGTGAAATTTATTTTGAGTTCCATGGACTCAAAGAAGTCCCGCAGAGAGCACATCTCAATACAATTTTCTACGAGCAAACACAACCTGGTCATCCGCAAAATAAAAGAGATCAGCTGTCCATGTCGATAAAAGGCCCTACATCTCCATACTGACCATACATACCTTTGCCTAACAGACACGTGGAGTGGAGATAAATCTTGAGGAGTGTCGGCGCCATGGTACATCCTTGCTTTAGACCCTTAGTTCATGAGAAAGGCTCCGATAGCCGCTTTGCAGTCTTTATTCGATAGATGTCATCTCCATATAGATGTCTCACAGCTCCTATTAAGGTGTCTTCAATGCCAGCCTCTCTCGATGCTGCCAACATTCTGCTCCTTGGGACGCTGTAGTATGTCTGTTCAACGTCTACAAATGGTAAATGGAGTCCTGGTTCATCTCCTGGGATTTTTCGATGAGTTGTCTAAGAACAAAGATGTTGTCCATTACAGGAGAGCCCCGCTGTGAAACCCGCCTGTTCTTCTGGAATAAAGAAAACACCCTCTAATTCTCTAGCGGATCCAGGATTTAGTTTTGGGAGGGTTTCAGCCCAAAAGCTTTTTTTCCCATATATACAACGATAATTAATTTGAAAAATAAAAGAAAGAAACTAACTACCTACATGACATGGTGTTTAAGTGATTTTTGAAGTCTTATTAAATGTAATTACACGAACAATAATACTTTACTAGATAGATTTTAATATTTTATCTATAAAACATGGTTATATTTTACGATTTTTAGAGGGACTAAGGGCATCAGCCCGAAAGCGCTCCCCTCCCCGTAGATCCGCCTGTGCTCTAATTTATCTCGGAGCAGCCTTCCAATGACTTTACTTACCGAACTCTGCATACAGATGCCTCTGTAATTTCGGAATATCTTCCTGTCACCTTTCTTGAATATAGGTGTTATAAAACCCGTCCAGAGATCGTTAGGCATCCTACCCTCTTTCAATGTCAGCTTAATCCTGCATAGCAGATCCGGCTGATCAGACTAGCACAGGTGTCGGTTTTTTTAGTGTCCCTTCTCACAGAGTACCGAGCGGAAACCTTCCTTTCAGGTAGTTTCAGGCAGTTCTGATCCCATCCTTTAGTTTGTGTCCAGCCGTCTAGGTAGTGTGTCACATGTGTTTTGATGTGATAGGTTCACTGCACGCAATGACGCCACAAATCCAAGTTCAGTATTTTTTTCACTTTTGATGAGTAATTAAAGCCCTTATGTATTTTTAAAACACATGATAGTGCAATTTCTGTCAGGTTGCATTGCCTTGCTAGAATGGGGGTGTTGTGCCTGTCAGGCTCATTGCGCATCTTTTCTAGAAAATATTTTTTTTTTTACATTTTTCGATCGTTATTTTAGTATTTCCCTTATTGTTTACATTCTGAAGATAATTGGGGAATTTAGGTTTGATTTAATATGGCATTTTTGAGACGCTATAGTTTTTTTTTTTATAGTGTGCCTGATAGACTCATCGCGCCTCAATATTGAGAATCCTTGATCGCTCCTTACGGAGGGTTAAATATCGCAGAGTACGTATCATCTTATCACTCCCACTCTTCAGCAGTTCCTCCGAAATCTCGCCTGGTCTAGGGATCTTTCCGTTTTTAGAGCTTTTCAGAGCCTGAATCAATTCTTCCGTGGCCACTTCTACTGCAGCCTCCAACGTTCTGATAGCTCTCTCTTTCGCCATAAGCTGGCCGACCTTATAATTCTTAAATATTTAAAATAATAAAATACAGACTAAGGAAACTATTTTCCTGTTTATCTTTTTATTATTAAAATTTAGTGAATTTTTTTCTTAAATTGAACTTCTTAAAATTTAATTCATCAGTTAACGACATTTTTGTTACTGTTACAACTGGCTAATTTTGCATGTAAAGGATTTATATAACTTTTTTAATGGGATAATTTGAATTTTTATATTTATTGAATATGTTTCAGTCCACACCGGAAGAAATTGAAATCGCTGTCAACGCAGCCATCGATGCAGGTTACAGGCACATCGACACAGCGTATGTCTATGCTAACGAATCTGCCATTGGAGCGGCGCTAAAGAAAATATTTGACAGTGGAAAAATCACTAGAGAAGAACTATTCATCGTCACAAAGGTATTTTGACTTCTTATCACGTTTATTTAGTTTCTTTATAGTTGTTTACCGGATAAACTATAGAAATTGTATCTCATTTACAGTTACCAGGCATTGGCAACAGAGCCGAAGATGTTGAACTTTTTATTAAAAAGTCACTGGAAGGGTTACAGCTTGATTATGTAGATTTATATTTGATTCACTGTCCGGCTGGGCTTGTCAATAAGGGTTTCGATACCTTGCATCCAACGGATGAAAAAGGGCAGCTCATAATGGATAAAAGTACTAATATTTTAGAAGTGTGGAAGGTGAGTTTAAGTTTTTTTATTCTAAACGTTAGAATGTTGGCTTTTAATAATTAATTTTTTTTTTAAGTTATTGAATATTTAACACGCGGGAACGTTGACTTTAGAGTAACTACTATTAAATTAAATTAAATTAAATTAAATTATTTATTTATTTTTTTTTTTACTTTCGTATCTGAGTTATTATCGATCCAGGTTTCGATTAATAACATATAATTGTTTATACTGACCAAACTATAACATGTTATAATTTTAACAGCTGAGTTTTAAAAAATACAAATAAATAAAAAAATATTTTTTATGATTACATTCATGTAACTTTATATATTTATATTTTAGTATAATTACGGTTCTAAATCGGAATCATCAAGAGCATCGGCCTACGTCACACCTGTTGCTACCTATAAATGTAAACTACATCTACTTTGTTATAATTATAATTTTTTTTTTTTTCAATTTTTCTCACTCAAATTCGAGAAAGTGATAACTGTGCGCCGTACTTACTACGCCAATTGGCCTAAATTCAAATATCTGTAAATTGATATGTATACATATATTCATATATATATATATATATATATATTTTTTTTTTCGATTCTGAATATATATATATGTATATATTTATAGAATTAATCGAAGCGTCAATTTTCAGGCTATGGAAGCACAAGTCGATGCAGGAAGAACTAAAAGTATTGGTATATCTAATTTTAACCAAAGCCAAACTAAACGAATTCTCGACAACTGCCGCATTCCTCCCGCAAACATTCAAGTAGAATTACATGTTTATCTCCAGCAGAAAGAGTTAGTGTCATTCTGCAAACAGAATGGTGTGACTGTATGTGCCTATGCTCCAATTGGCTCACCTGGGCACAAGGATTTTTTAGAAAAACAGGGACTTTCGGCTGAAGGGTGAGACTTTATCATTATTACACCTATAGTTGTAAAATAATTCAATTGATATCCTTCTTTCTAAAATATAAATCATGCCATCAGTTTTTAAGAGCTAAAGCATTTACCTTTGGTTATTAGGTCTTAGTCATTTATAGAATTTTGCGCCTAAATTTTTCCCGTTGAAGATCTAACCCAATTACTTTTATGGATTATCCTCTTGATGATCAAAAGTATCTTTAAATGAAAATTGAAGGTGCTTAATCGAATAAATATCTGTTAGAATTCAATCATTATACACTGACCTCTCTCCATTGTGTTTAAATGCATAAATCCTCAGTGCATTCTTTGGGCAATAATCACCCTGTGCCTGTTGTGATACACTACATCACTTTCATAAATATTCTTGATAATTAGTTACTTATCAAATCTTGGAGTACTGTAAAACTAAAAAACATTAGGGATGACATTTTTCCAAAACTAGAATTATTTTTGACAAGCTCAGCATTTTCCAGAACATTAATGCAGAGGGGCATCGAAAATCCCCATACTCTGTGAAGAATTGTGACACCCAATAATCAGGAATATTTAGATAACATTTTCCAAGGTAGTAAGTATTTCCTCAAGATAAAGCCTTAACGAGGAGTTACATACACATTGTCGATTCCACTACTCAATGGTGTTCTCCCGAAACCAGTTCATGAGCAACAGTCCTGCAGGATTTTGTTACTCACAGCAGAGCCGTCATCTGGGTTTCGCCAATCTTCTCTTCTTTAGTTGCAAGAGATTTCAATTCCAAGCTGGGGATGCGTACGTCAGGATACCCAGCACTACTCCATTGTAGACAGTCATTGTTGCTGGGTACTTGAGTCCACAGTAGGCGCCCCCAATACGACTTATTCCATTGAGCGCTCTCTAGCAACCTTTCACGGTATTTGGTAAGAAATCGTTCATTCAATTTGTAGGATAATAAAATTTCTTTTTCCGTAAAATAAATTATATATATTTAAACAAAATATGCTTCCACGGTGAAGGGTGAGTGAGTTCTAAGTTTACTTGGGCTGCTTTCCTACATACTTACTGTCAGTAGCGGATACAAGACTTAATATTTTTTTAAGGAGAGAGGGCCATTATCATTTCAAATAGTCTCTAACTCCATAGTAATTACTAATAACTCTAATTATTTGAACAACTATGCTTTTAGGAATATTTGTTTATATATTTTTCATAATATGTGCTGTGTTAATTTACTAGCTGTATATCCGTTATAACTTAAGAAAATAAAATTCTGTGATTGTTTAATTATTTAACTCAGATCACTCACAAAACATACATTTACTGACCAATGAAAAAAAAGCAATTATTTTTCATTATTTTCTTTGTGGTGGAGATCCACCAGCGGTCATTGAGGTGTTCCTAATAAAATTCTTACAAAACAATCTTCCTAGTAACTCTATACTTTGCTATCATTTATAAAAGCCATATAATAGAGCATACAAGTTTACATTAATTTCTTATATTTTTTTTTCTTTACCCCATTGATGTGGTGTTGAGAATAAAGTGGTAGTACGAGGCTTGAACATGAACTCTTGTACTGCACAGAGTGCATTTTAAGAGGAGGGTGGGGAATTGGGAGTACTGTGGTTATTCATGGTTATGGTTCGTCTTAGTCTAGTGGCGGAGCTCACTAGTGTCCTGTAAATGTCAATTTTTCAGTCTAGTAATACGTTTTTAATATATGTCTGTCATCTCATAGGTTCGTGAGTAAGTAGAGTAAGTGTTTTAAAAAGTGGGTTTGTCGAGTATTTGACGCTATGAAAAAATTTTATATGCCTGCGTGTAATAAAGTCCCCCACCTTCGGTAATTCGAGTATTGTAGTACGTGTTTTTTTTAAAGTCGTGTGTCTCACTATTTTTCTTAGCACACCGTTCTAAAACTGTTGGAGCTTTTTCGATATTGCCGGTGATCGATGTTAGTTAGGAGTGGTGCTCCATAAAGGAGTGCCGGTCTTAAAATGCTCTTGTATATTGTTAATTTGAGGCGGAGTGATAAGTTAGGAAAAGTCAACAGATGGTTGAGCCTGTATGCCTTGGTCTTTACCGATTTCAATTTCTTATTAGGTGCCAGTGTTAGGTGCCTATCGAGGGTAACACCTAGATATATTATACTGCTCGCCGGTCTGTTCTCGCTACCGGCTTATAGACCTTAGGGAATGGCCGCTTATTCTTTTGAAAGGAGAAAATAATAATAATTTCTTATAAAAAAAATAACAACTAATAATGTACTTATATTAAGATTCTAAAATTTACATTGGATGAGAAACAAACATACTCTTATGGGTTCTTAATAGTGACAGTGACTTATTATTACATTAAACAAAAAACTGAACCAATTTTCACATTAAAAAAAAACAGTTCAATGTAGGGATATGTAACACATAATTTCTTATTTCCGTCACCTTATCAATCCTTTTTTGTGATAGGTTGAAAGTTATTTCTCCTTTGGAAGATCCTGTAATTAAAGGAATCGCAAAGAAGTACAACAAACAGCCTTCACAAGTCCTATTGAGGTACCTTATTGAATATGGAGTTGCTGTTATACCAAAAAGTATTAATCCAGAGAGGATCAAACAAAATTTTGATGTAAGTCACTTTGTAGCCATCTTCTAAAATATCAATTCAATATTTTAAATTCTATCTATTAATCTGATTCTTTTCCCTTTGAAAGATTTTCGATTTTGAGCTCACAAAAGAAGAATTTGAAAAAATCAGCGGATTGGACCGAGGAGAAGATGGAAGGATGTTTGGCGGCAGAAAAATTATTGGCTACTTCAATCTTTTAGAAACTCATCCTGAATTTCCCTTCCCAAAATAAAATTATTCATTTTTTAATTTATTTATTTTCCATTAATTTATTATCAACTATTTATTAATAGTCTGAATTACAATTGTGAGCTTCAAAATTGTGAAATAAATGTTTTTACCTAAACAATAATCCATCTTTGATTTAACAAGTCAGATAATTTCCTAAATAATTCTGTTATAGTATGAGAATTCTGCAAGTGCTGCTAAAAAGCTCATTGAATGCTCATGGGGATATAAATGAGTGATATACATATGATAATATTTTGAAATAAGAATAATGTGCATGTAATGGGTATTACAAAGAAAATTAAGTTGATGGTTGCCAAAATCATTAATGGTTTTATTTGATGTTAAATTATGAAATATACGAATGTTTTATCCACACAATTATTTTAAACAAAATGTTAAAATAACAGAGACAATTTATTACTGGACTATGTGTTCCCTGAATTTAACATAATACAATGAGAGGAAAAATAACATTTCCAAAAATGAACATTTTGGTCTTTTATACTATATGAGTCACTTATTTCCAAAGTAAACCCTCATCGATTTTATTATTTTATTAATAATCATCAACTCCCGTATTTCAAACATTCAATGAATTTTTTTTCAATCGTTAACCTAAATATTTTATAAAAATAAAGAGGTGTGAAAATTATTTTTTTTTCAAAGAAAGGTAATGAAAGAAATTTCTTAAGTATTGTTAAAGAAATAATACATCAAAAGCCCTTTTAACACTTTTATTCAAATGAAAATTAAAAACATATTAATTTTACTGTGTCATTATTGTAAACAAAAGTTAATTTTTTATAGTAAAATCATTATAACTTGTTTCCGCTCGGGTCAAAAACCATTTTTTCTCTCTTGAATGAACACCAATCAAATTCTTTGAGCGCCCTTAATATCGCGAATGACATATATCCATACCTAGAAATATATAGTATTTTAGGGCTCATAAAACAGCTAAATATTCATCAAGTTCCTGGATAGTGAAAGACTAAAAAAACACATTTGACAGGCTTTTTTTTATTTAATAATTTTTTTATCCTTTTATTTTTATTATATTTTCTCTTATTATTATTTATTTATTTTTTCACTTGATTTCATTTCATTTTAAATTCATTTGTTTATTAATCTCAATTCATTTATTGATTCTACTGCTATTTTTTAAAATTTATTTATTTATACATTTTATTACCTATAAATGTCTATTATTATCCTTATTTATTTATTTTATTCTATCAATCCATTTCTTTATTTTATTTTTTTTTAATTTATTTATTTTTTTATTATTTTTTTTTATTTTTTGTACCAATCATCCAAAAAGTATTAAATGATGTTATTTGTTGATCGGGCGCTTATGACCTGGATGTTTTGCGCCTAGACACCGAAACAAACAAACAGCTAAATAACATTGTACGGTATATTTTCTATGATCTACCGGCCTTGTAGGCGTTCATTGTATTGAAATGACTGATACAGCAGCAAAAGAAGCTTTTAGAAATAGAAAATAACTTTATTATGGGACAGTGACACTTTAGAATAACGAAACAGTACAAAATTAAAAGATTATATCTGGCCTAAATAAAAAAAAAAGTAAGGAAAACATTGGTTAAACAAGCTATATACAAAACAAATAAACCTATATTCAAAACACTTAAAACTATACCAAGACACTTAAAACTATGTACAGTAGCAACAAAATAATATATATATTAAAATAAGGTCTGTGTTTCTGCTAACAAAGGAAAGTCGAATCAGACAAAATAAAACGTCAGAGTATTTGAATAATGAATAATATATAAATACATCATTATCCCTAGAGAAATTTACAGTATGGAATAGTACCATTAGAAGGGATGTAATGGTCGGAAGATCGAGATCTTGTGGAAAGGGAATGGATTGAGGACTTGAATTGGAGAAGGTTGTAAGCGTAAGAAGGACGATGACTGTTGATGATTTGATAACGGAGCGTACCTAGGAAATATTGTCTTCAAAAGGAGGGGAAGAGCCATTTTAACTCAGTGTGATGATGAGAGACATGGGAGTGTCTCGGTGTCCCAATTACAAATCTTAGGCAGCTATAACCCTTCCTGGATGTGGTAAAGCTTTCTTAACTGCTTCCGAACTGGCACGACTACTGAATAGGGCATCTAAGAAGATTGGTAGACACTGTGGGGCAAAAGTCCCCAAATAAACTAAATGTCATAAAGAGTGAAGTGAAATCATGGAACAGTTATAGTCGCAGTAAGCGCAGAGAGGATGTCATCACTCAGAACAGGACAAACCAGGCTTACACACCTTTCTTTTTTTGTTATTCGGTCCTCCCCTTCCTCGCCGTTAAGGCTATACGGGGTTTTCCCGGACAGGGAGTGTGGGCGGAGATTTAAATGACTCCCTCGGCACCGGGACGTGAACTCGTGATTATTTTTATATCATTTGATAGATATATCAGGTTGCCGGCCAACGGTGGTGCTGTGCTCACGCGTTAGCCCATTCGGCCACCCCGCCCTTACGCACCTTTACTTAATCACTAAAAAAACTCTGCTCATTTGTCGGAGATCTGGAGAAAGAATGGCAACGGCCCATATCCTTGCTCCATAGAATTGCTCCTTTTACATCAGAGAGTTAAATGAAATGGGAATACCAGAATAAACTGAGACTAATAAATTGTTTCATCACATTCATCTTTGGAGCCCCAGTCGCTCCCACGTCTTCAGCTCGTACGCCGAATTGAAATGGCTCTTTCCAGCTTCCAGACGGCAATATTTCCTTGGTGTTTTCCTTTTTCCGACCGTTTCATCAAAAAAACCTCTTACCTTCTTCATCTGTTAACTCCTTGTTCCTCTCTCTATTCTAGCCCACAAACCTGTTTATTCCCTCTCATAGAACTGTTTCCTTTAAAAAATCCTTTCTCATACTTGCTACATTGTTTTGGAATTCCCTATTAACTTCCGTTGGAAAATCCTCATCCTTAACCTCATTTACCATTTATTTTCCATCTCATCAGCAATCAATCTTCCGAATATATGTAAGAGTAATATTCTTATGTTTTTAGAGCTGTCACCTCATTTTACTGCTTTCTTACAGAGATACCTATATATTACCCATTGTTTATATTTAAACAAACTCTCATAAATCTAGCTATAATGCAAATGTTAACTTGTGCCTAAATTTATTTTAATTTCAAGACTCAATAGCAATGCAATTTAATTAACAATAAAAAGATGATTTTGAACTCTGTACGCCAGACAAATGCCACTAAATTATTCATTATAATTATTCTTAGGGGGCTGCATGCTCCAGAACAAAATTTACTTTTCTTCTTCTACCAGCAAATACATCAACTGCTTTGGGAAATGAGGAAAAAATCCAGAATGAAATCTAATTTTTTCTCTCTAAATAAAGAATTTTTAAAAATATCTGCAACCTTATCTTTCCTTTTTTAATATTATTATTTTTATTGTTTGATTTATTTATGCACAATTACTAAGTATAATTATAAATAAATATGTATGTATAAACTTAACTAACGCCATAATAGACCTTAACTTCATAACATCCAATCAATAATCAGATCCCCAAACAACCTTATTTTTGATAATATAACATTTATTTGTAATGAAGTGAGAAAAGAGTAGGGTGACGGTGAAGAGTAGCATAAAAACTATTAATGAAATATTTGTTTTCTATTTTTCTCTTGACCTTAACAGCCACCTTGGTCATATTCTCCATGGCTAATTATATTCAGTTTATATAACTAGTTTTATCGTGTGCATGTTTTTTAATGCCAGTATTTAATATAATTATATAATGTTTTAAGTCATCGTAGTTGTAAGTCCTCTTTAGTGCTGAACACAACAGAAACAACAGAAATAAATATAGAATAGATTAGAAGCAAAATTTACAAAGAAAAAGTTACATCAAATAATTATTAAGAAAAAAAATTGAACTAGATTTATTTTTCTGATAATTGATCAAAGAAACTATTTGAGTACGATTTCTTTTATAAACTAGAGCAATGTAAACCGGCTTGTGGAAGATCAGCGAAACAATTCAAAACACTCTAACATTGTTGATCAAAAACTTTTTAATAAAAGATGGTCAATAAATCAAAAAAGCGATAAAGACTCTTGTGCAAGTTTAAAACAAGTCGGATAATAAAGATATAGGGATTTTCGATAATTTTTATCAGTTTTTCTAACCGTTTTATGTTATTTATATTTTTATTTTTTCTCGAGTGCATGTTGAGCAAGAATACTTTCGAAACTCTAATTAGCACTTTAAAGATTTGTGAATCCCCTAGTTTTTGTTTTTTAATTTATTCTAACATTTGAATATACGGTTTGAAGAAGTTTTAGCTACCGACAACATCTGTGTTATATCATAGTTTGTATTTTACTTAAAATTATTAAATGAAAAAACAGCAGCGTGTGTTTCAGACCACATGAAAGAAGTGAAAATATCAACTAGGCGAGATTAGTAGTATGACATATAAATTTGTTTTTGTTCTGTATTCACAAAGTAATACCATAATTAATATATAAAATTATAATTGTGTTCAAACTATTTTTTGTCTATTTCCACTAAGTAATAATACTTACACTATATACAATTATAATTGTGTATAAATTACTCTAGTAAACTTTTCTCTGACTGATCTTCATTTGTATCATACTATATAAATTACACAATAGATTTATGATAACTAAAATATGTGATGAATACTTTTGCTTGAAATATATTTGCTAAATATCTAACAAATACTCCGTCATCTTTTTTTTTTTTTTCATATAACTTATGTAAAGATTGTTCGTAATTTGTTGAAAATATATCTAGTGTAACAGAAAATCAAATATAAACACATAATTTCTTATTTTATGGCTAGTTAAAAAATATCTATATTGACTTCCGCAAATCGGTTTCTGAATTTTCCATTAATTTAAAATTTGAGATATTTTAGTCCAAATTTTTTGGTTTTCCCGTTTTGTTTCTCCAGCACAGTGTCGCGTTAAGATACTATTTTAAATAATATCTCATTACAACGATGATGAAATGCTGAACATTTACCCCGCTTGCAGTACGCAAGACTGATTTTTTATTTCTGAGATATTTTAATCTATATGGGTTTAATTCCCGAGCCTAACGGATCGATCTAATTCACTACCCACAAAAAAGTAAAAAGCCCACCTAAAGAAGTTTCTACTTCAAAAATATGTTGTTTTTGTTTTTTTTTATATCAAACGTTTTAAAGCTGACTTATTATTACTCAAATGCGAAATTTAAAATTTGAAATAGTTTTCAATCTAGCACGATTCGTATCACCATTATATCAACCACGAAACTGTTTGGACATCTTTTTAACGAGAGTGAGTAATAGCTCACTTCTTGTGTTCATCCTGATAATTTTAATTATTGAATTATTGAATCACCAAGCTTTTAATCAGTTTGTACAAGTGCTTTTGTCGAGTATTGCGATTACAAACAATTACTGGTTGATGAGTGGGTCATCGTATTTGGGCAATTCTCTCAAAAATGGGTTAATATTACTGATCCCATTGTCTTACGTCACAATCATTTCCTGTCATGTCGAAATTGTTTAAATTTATTGGTAACATCACATAAAAACCCTTTACAACCGATCAGAATACTTTCCAAGTAGTGGTATGAAAGTAATAAAAGATACAAAATCGAATTTGCTGCATGTTTTCTAATACTAGTTTGATATCGATATTTTTTTTTTAATTCTGAAGAAGATTTCAAACAATTATTACCAAAGTAAAATTAACCTTTCCTAAAAATTTGTATCCTACTGATGTGATACCTAAATCAAGTCAATGAAGTTTTAAAGAATTTAGCAAAGATTACAGACAAGTTTCATCAAAATCGTCTTAGCCGTTTTGACAAGATAGTCTCAAGAAAAACACGAGTATTTTTATTATACAACCACTATTTAACACACAGAGTACTCGATTTGACAAAATGACATTGGTAACCAAATCCTACAAATTAAAAAAAATAAACAACAAAATCAGCCCTACCACTTAAGAAATAATCGTGGCACATATGCACAGACCAATGATCGAAAATGGGTTTTTATACTCCAGAGTCACTGGGAAGATCGGTTGAAAACTTGATAAATTTTTTTTTTTCCTCATGTTATATATAAACCTATATTCTTACCTAACTACTAACACTAGAGAAGTGGTGAATAAAACATTTAGTAATTAATTCTTCTGTTGGCTCCAGAGAGATAATATTCTCCCTCTCAGTGTATTTGTTAAATCAGAAGTGGTTCTGAATCATTATTGGCATAAAAATCGAATCATTGAATGTGAGGGACGCTTGAAAGCCTCTAGGAGGTTATATTAATGACTAACATTGTGAAACTTTTTTTTTTATAACGATGAAATTTCAATGAAATCAGAAGGGCGTTTACTAAAATAATTTAAATATCATATTTTGTTACAAATTTTTTTGTTAAATTTTATAAATATCCAGTTGGAAAAATAATGTAATGTTTAGATCATTGTTTTCAGAAGATCATTGGCGAAAGTTTATTTTGAAAATTAGTTAAAGTTAAATTTTGTTAAAGAGTTACAGATCATTAAAAGAATTATTACCAAGGGGAATGATTACGAATTATTATTATTATTAAAGGAAGGAGATGGTCCGGAATGGCGGTCATAAATAGGCTAAATAGTGGCAAAACTATTTTATTAAAAGACAACGTTTCGACCCGACTTTGCAGAAAACATCTATATTCTTGCCACGGTCCCTAACCATGAAAAAATACTCATTTCCCAATCCATCCACATTCACATGGAACAGAATCCTGTTAATCATAAAGTAGATAAAATCTGCATTTATTTAACATATAGACACATTTTAAATCTTATAAGTGAAAAATAACTTATGTATTACATACTATTATTTATCACGCAACGGTCAACTATTTCAACCCATGCTTAATATTTCAGTATTTCATAAATTTGCGCCATTTCGATTTTTGAAATGTTCTCAATTTATAATACCTACTATGTAACAGGGTTTATAAAAAAAAAATGACCGTTTTATCAAGTTCTAGATTTTGAAGGACTGTAAATATTTTAATCCTTTTTAATACTTAATAATCACTTTAGAGCATTCTCTAACCTTGTTTAATCCCATTCGACTTCTTCAGAAAAGCCTCAGTTTAATTATTTGTTTCAAATAAGAAATATGACAGTGTCGTACAAAATTCTCGTAATTTTAAGGCATTACTGGAAACAGCCGCTGAAGCAACTCACGAAATTATTAAATATGAAGGGGAAGGTGTCCTTGACCGGCGCACTGCGCGGCGTTGGTTTGAAAAATTTAGCAGTGGAGATATGACATTGGAAAGGAAGGTGGGCTCCGGCCATTAATGGGTATGGATGAAGTTCTGCAGGAAACTGTTGAGTCAAATCCGTCCACAAGTACTCGCGAACTTACCCGAGAGTGTGGTGTGTTCAAATATACTGTTAGTCGCCATATACTCTCCCTGGGGAAGGTGATAAAGAGCAATAGACTGGTCCCTCACGAACTTAATGCTCAGCAATCAGCTAAGAGATTAGAAATTTGTGAAAATTTATTGAAAAACCCTTCTGATATGAGATGTCTATCTGATCCACCATACAGTCCAGATCGGATTACTACTTATTTAGATCCATAGCCCATTGTCTTGAATGGAAAAAAAATTGATAATTTTGTGAAAGTTGAAATTGCGGTCCAAGAGTTTTTTTACAGCCATCCCAAAGAACGGAATCAGCGTGGGATCGAGCAATTGGCTGGCAGATGGCTAATGACGGTAGATAACAATGGACTGTACTTTGAGTAATAATTTTATTATATAACAAAGAAATAAAAATACAAACGGTTTTTTTTTTTATCAAAATGAATATTTCTATAATCCAATGCAAATTATGTTTGTATTTATTGTCTACAGAAAGCCATTTCAATCCGGCTCCGACAAGGACTATCATATAAAGTACACGAGTTTTATCTTCAAGAAGTTGGTAAAGTCGATTCAGTACAGTAATATTTTTTTTCATTAAATAGTTTTTTTTTTTTTTTGTATTTCTATTTTCGATGTTTCAGATTTCATAAATACGTATTCCACATCTCTATCACACGACTTCTCCTCACAAGAAAACACTGCATTGTTTGAAATCTGTCATTCATTCTGCTTCATTGTTTCAATATTGGCTTTTACGTATCTATGCAGATGCAGTAGAAAATAGATGTGTTGAATTGCTCACTTGAATTTTGTCCCCACCCACGAGCGCTGGAAATTAAAAAACATCTGGTGTGTCCACTCACACAACTTTCCTACTTATTTCAGAAAAGTGTTTACATCTTTACATAAGTTCATGAAGAAAACTTACTTTCACGTTGTCATCTTTTTTCTCTCATTCACCCCTTTCTGACACCAGGATATGAAACCGTAATCTTATGTTGGAAATTGAATAGCTGTAACTTCGTTATAATATGTCCAAATGAACGATTTTTATATAGTTTTGTACGGAATTATCTTTAAAAAAACATGCTAATAGAATAAGCTGTATCATCGCTAATATTGGTTCCATTCCAATGAATTTTTATTTGTTTTGTTGGTAATTTAATTACCTTTCAAAAGCTTTATTAGGAATTTTACCGTATAATATATACTTAGGGAGCTAGACCCCATAACATTTTTCTTTTCTTTATAACTTTTTTTCCTGTATTTTCTCGGGAATTTAGCCCATATACGAAAATTGAAAGGAAAATTTTTGCGCTGCAGTCTATTGAAAAACGTGTTTTTAATTTATTATGCGCAAGCTATTGCGCATGGAGCACCGAATTTCTGTCGCAGTCATCAATAATCAAAACCCTACAAAATAAAAAAAGAAGCAAAAAAATCGGTTCAGTAGTTCCCAAGAAAATCTTGGAACAGACAGACAGAGAGACCAATGACTAAAAATGTGTTTTTCCAAATCAGGGTGCTCTGAAACGTATAGATCCGTCGAGAACCGCATATCAGTAATTTGATCCGATTGCAATACTTACCTTACCTAGTAGGTAGGAAAGTAAAAAAGGAAGGAAGACAAGCCTAGAAGTCTGCTAGACAATGTAAACATAAACCACAAGTATATTGCCAACTTATAATTCCATTTTGTTTTCCATTTCTGTGTTAGATTTCTCTTGGCTTATTGAACTAAGTCTGGTTGTTGGGTCAGAATTTTAGAAATTCAATTCAGTAGGTTCGCCATTTTATCTGAATATTCCGGAAAATAGTTTAATGTTTCTAAAGACCTTTTCACGGCCTTATATATACGGCTATATAACTATATACAATTTTATCTGATTATGTTTTGTCATATTTTAAATAAAAGCAAACAAAATATCTCGTTTTTTTTTTATACATATTACTATTTGGAATTCGATAGGTTGGGAAGTGGTAGGTTTATTACTTGAAATGGTTTTATTACCTTCTTGCGGCTAAATAAAACGATGGCAAAAGGTTTCTTAGATATCAGTAACTTTAGCCACAGTCTTGTAAAAAGTCAAAACATGGCAGTGTGTATTGCAACAGTTTTCGCAATAGTGATTATTTTCGTTAACGAGTTTAATTTAATGATTGCGAAATTGCTGAATTCCATGTGCAAACAGGTAATAAACTAAACAATATCAGAAATAAATGAAGAATACACATTGGTAGAAGCTACTAAACTATCGGAAATCAAACTCGACCCCCTCCACCTCTCTAACGATCGCACTTCTAGATTAGACATTAATATAAGAAGCGCTCTAAGAAGAAGGTGTCAGTTTGAGTGCCGGCTCTGGTTCTTCTTTCCTCCACTTCTTTGCTTCTTGTCAAGATGGTCAAACTCTCCCCGAATAGTGTCATCACTTCTGGCAGCATGAAAATGCCGATTTTCGGTTTGGGGACATGGCAGGTAAAAATATCTCTATATTTTTTATTTTCGTAGTAGATTCATCCTGTTAGATTTTAACTACTTAATATTACTTGTAATTGTTTGCAATCCCATTTGTTATCTTCTATTTAACATATACCTACACTTTAGTATAGTTTTTGTTAAGTCAATACTTTTATACAAACGATAATTTTCAAAGTAAATGCGCTGCTGCTCCCCTTTTGAAGTCAGAAAAAGTCGTTACAGCTTTTTTAAAAGTTTACTCAAAAATATACAATTTCACTTTCGAATTATCATTTTATTATTCAACCGGCCGTCACATAAATTCAACCGGCGGTGATTCAAATTCAGACGAACGAAATTTATATTTTTATCAAGGTTCCTAGACAAGATTATTATATATAAACTGTCAGTATAACCATATAACCACGAAATAGTAAAATTTTTCTTACTGTTGATTTGTCAGTTTTAGGGGTAATCAAATTTTTTGTAAGTTTCCATTCTTTTGACAGGTACTAATTGATTTTAATAAGATGCCATATTCATTACCGACAATCGGAATAGGTTTATAATTATATTTATATAATATGTGCCTCCTTTATATTTAATCATTCCGTTCCTCAGAACTTTGTGTAAATGTTACTTTTGCCTAACATTACACATAGGAGTATATTAAGATTTGAAACCGGACTAGATTATTTGATTTTTTTTTTATATTTTTCCTACGATTGATACTCTAGGTGTCTACAACAAAAGATAATATTTCCATTAGTCGATAATTGATTTTTTTTATATAGGTTTGAAATAGATTTTTTGATATAGATACTAATTGATTTCAATAAGATGCCATATTCATTACCGTCGATTATATTTATCAGAAAATAGGTTTATAATTATATTTATATAATATGTGCCTCCTTAACATATAGGTGTAGATATGAATGATACAGGTACAGATAATATTTCAGAAACCAGAGAGATGATTCTAAAACTCACAAATGTACGGAAAAAACTGTTTCACACTATAATGTTTATAGATAAAATATTGATATTTCAAGCTATCAATCTTTTTTTATTTATTTTATATTTATTGAGTATTAATACAGTCTACCACATTGAAGGGCATTGGTACTATGACTGTAGTATTCATTCACTATACATTCACACAATATGTACATAATAAAGAAAAATAAATATAAATAAAACCAAGTAGGGAAAAAAATATATGTATATGTATATATATATATATATATATATATATATATATATATATATATAAAGAGAAAGTAATATACAAAATAAGTAAAATAACAGATTAAAGCCGAATGATAATAAAATAAATAAAACACATTCACGCCTATGTACAATTTATCAATCTTTAAACTATTCATGTGGTGTGTTTTATCGCAATGAAAGATGAGATGTGCCTAAAAATAGTATGCTCAGAACTATTTTTAGCTAAAAAGCGATAAGAATTACACATTTGCTGTTCCTGATCATTATTGATAACTGATTTAATTAAGATTCAGCCAACAAAAAATAAATTTATCTCTAAACACAATATCATCAATTTATTGCAAAAAGACCACTTAGTACATTCTCTATATAGCTCAACTTTTAACAACGTTTTTGTGAATTTCTACGTTATTTATTTATTTTAAAAAAACAGTAAGTTCTCTAAAATAACTAAAACACCTTTATAAGTACAAACATTGCACACTTTTTTGATTTTACAAAGGAAAAATTCATCGAAAGCCTTAATGACTCAACGCTGTTACATATTGTACATGTTACACTTATTATATCTAATCTATTTTGCAATAAATAGATTCTTTCTTATATTCTTCCTGAATTTACACGAAATGGTGAAACAAGAGTATGGGAAAGCTATTCGATGACAGAGTGATTGGTTGGTTATTGGGCTTTAAGAATGGTAGGTGTAGTTGGACTGCCATTATTTTAGGCCGTATTCATTGTTTTCTTCCGTCATTATTTATTATTTATTTTTATTTAGGAATACCAATTGTATTCTCGTTAATATCTTGTCCATCATCGATACGTTATGAAGAAATATTTGAGAGTTAATAGATTTGACAATAAATGTTAGCACATAAAAAAAATAAATAGTTTAATAATGTGTTTTTACTAATTGTGTAATTATTCTTCAGTCGACCCCAGAAGAAATCGATATCGCTTTGAATGCGGCAATCGACGCAGGTTACAGGCATATTGACACCGCCTATGCATACTCTAATGAAGCTGCCATTGGTGCTTCTCTTAAAAAGATTTTCGAAAGTGGAAAAATTACCAGAGAAGAACTGTTCATTGTTACAAAGGTAATCTAGGTTTTAATAAATCTTGCCTGTCAATAAGTTGCCTACTTTTGTATTTTTAATAAATTGCATTCTTTCTTTATACAGTTACCATTAAACGGAAATAGATTTGAACATGTTGAACTATTTCTGAAGAAGTCCCTTGAAAACTTGCAATTAGACTACGTTGATCTTTACCTTATCCATTGCCCAGCGGGCGTGCAGTTTAAAGGAATGGATCAACTTTTACCAATGGATGAGAACAAGAAACCTTTAATTGACTACAGTACCGATCTATTGAAGTTATGGGAAGTAAGTTATACAGAAATTTTCTAAGTATTATTTTTACAATATTAAATAAAAGTAAAACAATTGACAATTAAAGCTTATAATTCGGAGACGTGGTCCATCGGTATGACTCAAGAAAAAAAAATCCTTTCAGTTGAAACGGATTTTTGGAGGAGAGCAGCTAGGATATCCAGGATCCAAAGTGTGAGAAACGTCACTCTAAGACAGTGATTGGAAATAAAACAAAATATCCTACAGGTGAACGAAGAAATGGGACTCAGATAGTATGGCCATATGAGGCGAACGGATGATGCCAGAATACCAAAGATAAGTATGGATTGGAAGGCAGGGGGTAGAAGAGGGAGAGGAAGACCCCTAGTTAAATGGAACGATAGATTGTAAGGGGACTGTCGGAGGTGGATGGGATGGACCGGCTTCAACATAAACATGATTATCGTTTAATCTTCGTAATGGTGTATATTTCCTGGCGTGTGGAACATAAGAAATTGAAAATAAAAAGGGATGAAAAGTAGTTGTATTAAGTTATCTAGTTGTTGTACTGTTTCATGTAACTTTATCACTGTTTAAGTTATTTTTTTTAAAAGAAACATTGATTTTGCATTCTTCGTGTATTTTTATCGTAGGCGGTATCAAAGGACTAAGAGATACAACATTACAAAAAAAAAATCTTATTTTTTTCAAACATGAGATTACTTATCAGGACAGGAAACTCAAACTTGTTAATAAGAATACTAAAATACAAGTCAACAATAAAATCGTGGGGATAAAAAGGTCTGAGGAATTATAAGATATTGATTGTAAAGAAGAGGTAGTGAATGAACAAAACCTATAAGTCAACAAGTATACATCAAAGGTGAGCGAAATAGATGAAGGCTAAGAATAAGCTGGTCAGAAACAAAGCTTTAATATTTTGTGGATGAATTTCAATTGGAAAGGGAAATTTTTTTAACCAAAAAGATGCAGAAATGGCTAAAAATATTAACCACAATAATTTCTCAGATTTGAAGAATATGAATTCCTTAGTGCTGAGAATTTTTTTCAATAAAAGGAATTTTTTGTTTTATTGTCAATCATCAATAAAGTAAATAAAGATAGGTTTTTGAGAATGAAATGGAATAACAGTAAAGAAAATTGATTCTTCAAAATTGTAACGAAAGCATAATTACTGGCTTTGGACAACGAGACAACGAGCCTTAGGCCACTATTGTAGTTAATATTTATAATATATTAGTGACTTGATATTATAAAATAATTAACGTTACAGGTATTATATATATAACGAAATACATAATATAAATTATCTTGTAATTTAAAAAAAAAAACTCATTATTTTTAACAGTAACCATTAAGACGCGAATTTCTTTTTAGGGTATGGAGGCTCAAGTTGATGATGGACGAGCAAAAAGCATTGGTTTATCGAATTTCAACCAAAGCCAGATCAAAAGAATTGTCGAAAACTGTCGTATTAACCCAGCAAACCTTCAGGTGGAAATGCACATCTACCTCCAACAGAAAGAGTTGCTGTCTTTCTGCAAAGAGAAGAATGTGACAGTGTGTGCCTATTCCCCGCTAGGATCTCCCGGCTTTAAACCATTTTTAGAGAAAGTTGGCTTGCTTACTGATAAGTGAGTTTTATATTTGATTAATTTCTGACATTATTTAAATCTTTCTATTATATAAAATAGATTTTAGTGTACGTCATATTTTTTTTCTTTTAGTATCAGGAGAATTGGATATTACAGGAGCTCTGCTATTAGCTCTATAATTAGCACTAATTAAAAAGCTGCTCATTTAATCACATAGTTGTTGAGCTCCTGTTACTTCATTCTCTCCTAATACAGAATAAAGATTTAAGACAATATTTGTACGGGGAATGGTATTTATTCCTCTGGAGGTGGTGGTAGTTTGATTTTATCAAGGTGGCAGCAGTTATTTTTCGATCTAGAAATTTCCCCTTGAATACAATACATTAATTATTATATTATTTATATTATATTGTGATATAATTATAATTATTATGAAATAGAAAAGGAAACACAATATAACGTACAATGAAAATATTAGAAATAAAAGGCTCAAATTATTGTTGGGCTTATATAAAACTAGACAAATTGAATATATATTATGGCTAAAAATTGGTAATAAGAATAATTATTATAATATAATAATATAAATTGGCAAAAATGCGCAATGTATAATATAGATTTTTAAAGAAATTAAAAATTTGCCAGAAACTCTGGTTTCTTACAGTTTATTTTATGATGATAAAAATAATACAATCTGAACTGCATAATACATGTAAACTAAAGTTATACATTTAAGCATCGAGTAGTACAATTAAATGAACAGTTGTATAATTTGTAAAATGGGGGTTGGTCTGCGGTTAGGTGGAGGAGGGTCCCCCGCTAGTACAAAATATTAAAAACAATCGATCACCACATTCCGATTAGAATTTTTTTAAATATTGAATAATTGCTTTTCATAAATCCAACTAGCTATGAAGCTTATTTTGTCATTTTTTATTCTCGATGTGAAGGTAAGCTAATGTTTAAAAAAAATATATGATTGAAACTTATTATGTAGATTGACTTTCTGCTTCTGTTCTTGAAATTTCTTATTCAACTTACAAGAGATTTCCGCTCAGAGGCACTGAAAGTGGAACAGTTCACTTGAGATTTAGTAGGAATCATAATAAAAAAGTTAACTGTTGAAAAAAAATTATAAAACATGTTATTTTGGTTTATATTTCAACCATTTGATTTATAGGACAAAATTTTTATATCCTATGGAAGATCCAGTAATCATAGAAATCGCCAAGAAGTATAACAAGCAACCTTCCCAAATACTCTTGAGGTATCTGATGGAATATGGAGTAGCAGTTATTCCAAAAAGCACTAATCCATCAAGAATCAAAGAAAACATTGACGTAAGTTATGTTATTTCGCTATTGAATATATCCCTTATTAAAAAAAAAAAAAAGAATCTATTAATCAATTTTCATTTCAAAGGTATTCGACTTTGAATTGTCGAAAGAAGATTTCGAAAAGATAAGCGCCTTGGACCGCGGCGAAGAAGGAAGGACAAGCGGTGGTAGTGGCACTTTTGCCTTCTTCAACTTGTTGGAAAGTCATCCTGAGTACCCATTTCCCAAATAAATTTGGATCACTACTTTATGCATTCGAGAGCGTATTTAACAATATTGTTTGCCTTGTGAAGTTTTACTAGTACACGATGTTTGAACAGTGTGAAGACGGTTTGTACCTGACGTATATTAACTTTTATTTTAAATATATTTTTTTATTTATTATGTACACAAAGGTACCTCCTTGTTACTTCCTCACCCAATTAAGAAAAGTAGAAAAAAAACATTGTTGCCCTTTATTTAGGATTATTGTATTTTTAATGTTTTGCGAACTTTTTCGTAGGTTTTTTGTTCTATGGCAATTATGTTACCAATTGTTCAAAATAAAAAATCTTTCTTTTCAAATTTATTTATTATTATTATTTATTATCTCCAACTCCTATAACTTTTTGTATCATCACTTTTTCACTGCCAAGTAATAATGAAGACATTATTTACCAGGCGTACCAACTCCTAGGCTATTAGTATTATTATATATTGCTGGAATGCTCAAAGAGATGCGGTACCATGCTAGAGATTACTTCGATGACTTGGCGCCCTTCAGCAGAGCCTGCTTTAAATAAGAAGCAGAAAGGTGTGCGATTCTTGTGGTGGGTGGTGCGAGAGGATTATTCTTGACAATAGGATGAGCCCTAGCAGTCTTTACTGCTAGGACTCATCCTATTGTCAAGAATACACAAGGAATAAGGATATGTCGGAATGATGCCTGAAATAGTCCTATTAGCCTAAAAGGCGAGCAATGGTGGGACAAAAAAACGGAGAAAAAACAGAATATATATATACGAATAAATTAATATATACGACTATATATCAGTTTTTTTTTTCGTATGGGCATATTTGATTGAAAATATTTTAACAAAGCAATTGAATTTATTACTAATTTTTAGTTAAAGGTTTGAAGCAATAAAATTCTTCGTCGATGCTTCAAATTTGTCGGCGAAAATATGATAAAATCTTCATGTAAAAATGAAAGGGACCACATGAATGAAACATACAATCCTAGGATATGTTGAATATATATATATATAACTTAAGATATGAATTATAGTCAGATAATAGGTCATTGTGTAATAAGTAGCTTGATGTACTTGTGTCGGTACTCTTGAGTCTGTCAGCGTGCTGCCCGGCTTGGAGTATCGATGCTTAATTAAAAACTGAAGAGAATCCCATTATTTATGTTAAAAAACGGGGATCGAAACGTTTGAAAAAATGGAATAAACAGAAGTAGTTTTAAGTCATCTAAAAGTATTTCATGACCTATTATCCGGCTATAATTCATATCTTAAGTTGTAAATATATAATATATAAAGGTCGAATTATAAAAAAATATTGTAATATATATATGTATATAATTTTCTAGGCCTTAGCTTAGCCATCTTGTCAACCTTTCCTATTTTTTTACTTTTCTACCTACACTAGGTAAGGAAAGTATTGCAATCGGGTCAAATTTCCGACATGTGGTTTTCAACGGATCCAGACGTTTCAGTGCCTCCTGAGTCCGAAAAACATATTTTTAGCCATTGGTCTGTCTGTCAGTCTGTCTGTGCCAATATTTTCTCGGAAACTACTGAACCAATTTTGTTGCTTCTTTTTTTATTTTGTAGGGTTTTGACTACTGATGCCTGTGACAAAAATTCGGTACTCCATGCACAATAGCTTGCGCGCAATAAATGAAAAACATGTTTTTCTATACACTGTAGCGCAAAAACGGCTCTAACCATTTTGATGAAACTTTCCTATAATGTTCTAATCATTGTTCTCTCAATTTTCGTATATAGACTGAATTCTCCAAAAAATTCAGGAAAAAAAGTAATAATGAAAAGAAAAATTTTATGGGGCCTAACTCCCTGAAATTTCCTGCAAAGCCATATAAAAATTGTTCATTTTGGACAACTATTAACGAAGTTACAGCTATTCAATTTCCAATGTAAGATTACGGTTTCATATCCTGGTGTCAGAAAGGGGTGAATGAGAGAATGAAGATGACTAAGTAAAATTAAGAAAATCTGTTGCCCGCATCACACAATCTTCATTCACTATTTCCTCTACTTTTAATAGAAATTTTTGTTTGACTATGGCAAAAAGTTTTTGATCAAGATTATTAGTGAGTATTGAAATTTTTACAGTGATCTACCTTATGCCGGTTTACTTTGCTTTAGTTTATCAAATAAATCGTACTCAAATCTTATGTTTGATCAATTTTCAGGAAAATGTGTTTAGTTCAATTCTTTTTTGTTTCTTCATGAACATGTGTAAAGATATAAAAACTTTTCTGAAATAGGTGCCACCTATTAGGTGGGAAAGTCGTGTGAGTGGACACACCAGATATTTTTCTTATTGATTTCAGTTTACATATTTTATTCATTCGATTAGATTAATTGATATTGATTTTTATTTGATTTTTGTTCTTCGAAATATTGGAGGAAGGGACGAAACGAGATTCTCGTCCAATCTATATTTTTAGTAGGAGAGAGGAGGGAGGGGGGCCTATGAAGTCAAGTGAGATGTGAAGAACGAAAATATGTAATGATTCACTGTTTCAGATTGCACATAACCTTCAAGGTCGATTTAGAACGACCGATTTTGATAAGGATTCCAAACGGAAACTCGATTATCCTAATTCATCCCACAATACAACTCTAATATGACATTAAAAACGTCTGCCAAGTAAGGTCAGTATAGCTTCCTCACCGTTTCCGTTGTATATTACAAGGTATAAAATTTTTCGTATGAGAATAGAATCTCTAAGAGAAGCAGAATCGGAATAGCCGATTACAGTTACCCTTCAACATTCAACAACAGAGGGTCGTATTTGAATATTCCATACTTGATTATGCTTAATAAAAAAAAATTAAAAAATGCATACTGAACATGAATTTCCATACTGTTAACGCAAAAGGTCTTACGTAAAAATTTATTTATTGTTTTACAACAGTGCATAAAAACTCATTATTTCTTTATGCTTTATGAGAATAATTTTAATTTTTATTGTCAGCTGCTATTTTACATAGTAGCAGACTACTTAAATCAGTTGCAGACTACAAGATGTCACCATTAATACACATAGAATTAAAGCTGAAAATTTTTACATTCGAACTTTTGCTCTGATAATAGTGATCCAGATTACACTACCGGATCCAGATTTAATTTTGGGGGAGGGGCTTCAGCCCGAAAGATATATATATATATATATATATATATATATATATATATATATATATATATATATATATATAACGATAATTAATTTTTAAAAAATCCACTGCAAATTATTTCACTATGGTATATTATTTCCAAACAATTATACATATAAAGTAACATTAAATTCCTATTTATAAAGAAAAATAAATAAAAGGTGATTCTAATTATTGGACTAAACTTTTTTTTAATCATTAGTAATATGCAAAAAAATAGCATTACTTCAGTAACACATTAAAAATCAAAACAAAAGATAAACCTTTTGCAATAACACATCTAAAAAAAAACTATAGACCATATCTCTGCTCCTAATTGTCCGATTTTAACGATTTTTTTTTTTTTTTTTTTAGGAAATTCCGCAAACTTTTAAAAAAATATATACAATATTCACAAAAATGTTAATACTTCTTGAGTTATGAACGGTACTATGTGATATGCCCGTCACATCGATTTGACTACAGACAGACGGACAGACAGACACCGAACCAAATTTGATCCTTGATTTCTGAAACGTAAAACGCGAGTGAAAATTTTTGATTCTGAGCAAAAAATATTTTTAATCTCTCGCACGAACACAATGCTTCCCTACCTTCGGTAGTGAGGAAGTAAAATATTTTAAAATCGCGACATCTCTACTAATAGTGCTTCAATTTCGCTGAAACTTTCTTCATTTTTTTAGGGAATTTGAATAGCTTTGAAACATCTCATCACAACAAAAATGTGTATACTTCTTGAGTTATTCTGAATTTAATTTTACCATCCCTCATAATTTTTTTTTGAGCTTCTTTCCGTTGAAGTATGTTATATAGATAAATTTAAAGGGCGTAGTGAAAATGATTTTAGCGAAGTTTCATTAAAATCGGTACATTCGTTTAGGCGCTTCAGTCTGTAGCAACGCACGTTTTTCGGCTGCCATGTTGAAACAAGAAGGCGAATATTAATGTCGTCGAAGGAGTATCATCCTCTGGTGACCTCTGATTTTAGATCCAAATTCGAAAAAAATCGGTCCAGTAGTTTCCAAAAAATTGCGCGGACGGCGGACAGTGGACTAGTAGTAGTCCATAAATAAGAGAAAGTGGCGGACAGAATTCAATAAAATTGACACTACGTTATTTTTTCACCAAAGCCTGCCTTTAATCTAACTTCGAGCCAAATCGAACAAGCCCTTTCTGAAATATTGGCATATCTAAAAATATACGTTTGCACGTGCGTAAGCGGAAGTGCTGGATGGAATTTGATAAAATTGATATGGGACCATCTAGGCACCAATCAGCATAATTCCTGAAAATTTCATAAAGATAGGATGAACGGTACTATGTGATATGCCCTTCACATCGATTTGACTACAGACAGACAGACAGACAGACAGATAGACAGACACCGAACCAAATTTGATCCTTGATGTCTGAAACGTGAGTGAAAATTTTCGATTCTGAGCAAAATTTTTTTTTTAATCTCTCGCACGAACACAATGCTTCCCTACCTTCGGTAGTGAGGAAGCAACATGCTTTATGTAAGAAATAAATGACCAGTACATACATTTTTTTTTAAATTACTAGCAATAAAAAATAATAACATTGGCCCGCTATTGGTCGCTAGATCAGACTTTTCATCACATCACTTATTTTGTAGCCTTAACAATGGACTTTTTTTAAATAAAAGATTCGTGATTTACTTTTATAATTTGTTTAATTGATCATTTTATTTTTTACATGATGTATTACTGGATACTAATGAAAAAAAAAAATAGACAAAACAAAATATATGATAATAAGCCGAAAATGTATCTCCGATAACAGGATCTGATTGGAAGGGAAATCATTCCCGAGAGTAGAAAAATTCGAATACCTCGGTTCCACGAAAACCCCAATGAACTACAAACGGTCAGAAATAGACCAAAGTATAATTAGCGTAAACAGAGTTTCTTTTCCCTTTCAAAGGTTTTGAAATCTCAAGAAATCTAAAATTATAAAGAGTATAAAATGCTATGATAAAGCTAGTTCTAATATACGGCTGATACGTGTACACTAACCAGCACCATGGAAAAAATATTGAAAGATTTACGAGAAAAATCCTTCGCACGATAACCGGATCGATTTGGGATCAGAGTACTAAGAAATGGAAAAGAAAGACCCATAAAGAAAATCTTACAGGAACTGATAAATCAATATCCCATAATATGAAGACACGGAGGTTAAGATGAGCGGGGCCTGTAGCTCGTAGCAATCCATCTGGAAGTCCCTCTGTAACAATCTACGCCTAGTAGAAGGAAAAAGACCACGCGGAGGGCCCAAAAAGTAGAAGGATAGATAGAATTAACAAAGATACAATAGAGCTGAGTGCAGATAACTAGAAATAAATAGCCCAAGACAGGCAGATATGCAGCAGGCTTGTTAAGGAGGCAAAAGATCTACAAGAATTTATTAAATTATTACATAATGGTTTATTATTTTCAAACAATGTAAAGAAAAATAAACAAAAAGAGATTTTTAACATTGGCGTGAATAATTTTTTTTTATCATTGATAATTTGCTATAAAAAAAACAGACAACATTGCTTCAGTTGATGTAAAACTTTCAAAAATACATAAACCAAAACAAATGATATAAGCTTTGCAGTAGAACATATAAAAAATATTTATATCTTTTCCAGGCTCTTTTCGTTGAAGTACGTTATATAAATAAATTTAAAGGGAATCGAGGAGAAAACTTTAAATAAGTTTCATTGAAGTTGGTATATTCGTTTAGGTCCTACAGTCTGTATCAACACAGGTTTTTGGCGGCCTTCTTGGAAGAATGCGGAATAACTTACTTTATTTAAATAAAATATTTTAACAAATAAAATATAATTATGTCTCAAAAGGTTGACAAAGGTAATCAACTCTTTTATTTTTCTTTAATATAGCTACCAAGCAACATCTGAGAAACATTTCACGCTGGTATTTTTAAGTATATTTTAGTAAATTACTTTTGAAGTTACAAAATTACTTTATTTTAGAGCATGTAGAAATAAATAAGTTAATTGGTCAAATTATGGATTCATAATTTGATGAACGACTTACTTAAATACTAGGCATCTATACCTATCAAATAAAAATCGTAACTGTAAAAAAAATTAACTAATGGTACTAAGCTCAAATGAAAGATAAGACAAAACAAAGATAATTGAACGAAACAGGAGCCACCACATCTGTAGTTGTTTAGAGGGTTGTATTTATCTAATGAAACATCCCTCTTTTATCTGACTACGTCGGATTTAAAAAAATTCACATTAATTTTTTTCACCTAGATTGGTCATTCGTCTTACTGAACAATATTGTGACTAATGACGTGTTTAATAATCTTAGTAATCGTCTCGTTTAATTCTTTATGAGAATTAAATAAGCAACAACAATTTGTAAAATTGAAACTCATATTAGTTTTATTTATGAAATCACAAAATGTACTATGACTACAAAAAGAAGTTATTACAATATTTGTAACTTATAATCTTATAGTTTTCTTTTTATTAGATTAAAATTAGGTATTTACAATAACTAAATTACCCACATGCTAAGAGTATTACCTGAACATCAGTTTCTCTATATTCCCCTTGCTAGGAACAATAATCGAGTTGAGTATGGCCATCGTGGATAAAGGGTTACCAACAAAGGCAGGAATTAAAGATAGAAGAGGGAATAATGGGTGAGGTGGCATGGAATATTTCCCAATACCCAGACGAGATATAAGTGAACGATCTCATTTGTTTTGCACATGAAGTACACCTCAGAAGATATTATTTATTTATTTTTCAGTTAATTCATGTTGTTTTATTACATAGCATAGATATTTTACAAAAACTCTAGGAGCTCTAAAACGGATAGAAAATGCAACCCCTCCTTCCACGGACGACTTTCAATGCAAAACAAATGTCCATTATTTCCGAAGGAAGACAGACAAAAAATTGTGACCCTTAAAATCCACAATAATACTGCATACAATACTACTGAGAATTTCGAACTTATTTATCGATACGAAATCACAGTGATTGCACTTAAATGACACATATCGTTTTATGTATCGCACATAGCTACAAGAAGTAGACAATTTTGAGGAAAAATTCATCAAATTTCTTAACAATTTAAGGTAATTAAATGACACTTAATGACATTTTGCAATAATTTAATGGTATTATTGTTGTCATTGGTCAATCTTTACCTTATTCACAACAACCTAGATCATTTAATATTCCAGGAGAAAAGGGAACCTGACCCGCAATACACTAAACGTTTTAATCAATAATCGATATTGGTTGACTGCTATTCGATACATTTGACATGTTGATTAGCCATTTAAGACCTCTAGCCTCCACCATAGGAACTCATTTCTAATATCATAGTTATCGATTTCAACCAGCTTAAGAGATAAACCAACTGCTAACTTTGCATTGAAATTTATTTTCTCATCATTTTTATTTTTTAACGACCTAGAGTAAAATAACGATCTTAACCAGAAAAATAAAGTTTTTGAGATCACAAAAAGACGTTGCGGGGGCCGAGGTGGACGAATGAGTTAAAGAGCCTGGAAAAATATACTCAACTTGTAGAAGCACGAGTTCAAATTCCGTTTGCGGAATTTAATAACAAAACAAAGATAACAAATAATTTAATTAATAATAGAAAAGTGCATGCGCTACTCGATTGCTTAGAGCACTACGTTGTGAACTCGATTCCCGCATGGGGACGGTCTACACCTAAAGATTCATAAGCGAACCCTGTATCAGACATACCTCCTGGTCCTCTAGATTGAGGGTTGGGTAAAGGGTTAATAATCCTATCCCATAATAAAAGCAGGATGGAGATTTCTGCAGAGTTGGCAACAATCCTTCAGGAAAGTGCCTGATGAAGAGGCTGATGGTTATTGTAAACCATGAGCTCCCTGGATATCTTCAAAAGAGCTAAAATGAATGAAAAAAACCAAACGATCACAGCTGCCGCCTGTAACAGTCCAAACCTACTAGAAGACTCATGGCGGAAACCGAAAGTCAAGAGGTGTAAGAATAAAAAAAAGTTGTTCTGCGGTAGGTACCGAATAAGCATTCGAATCACTTTCTTTCAAAGGTTTATTTCATTTACCCCCTCCTTAATTATTAAACATTACCATCATATAGTTTAAATCATTTTAAACAAAATTGCTATCCCAGATTCGAGAAAGTGCCACTGTGTGATGCATCGTGTTGAATAACTACACATTCATTCTTACCGAACTCATTATGGGGTTCCTATCCGGTACGAGAGGGAAATGGAATACATATGGTCATAAATGATTAATAAACTAAACTAGGTAAAACTTTTTTATTGCTAAGTTTACACTACATAGGTGACCAATATTTTGAAAAAACAATAACAAATCAATACTATTGGTTAAAACATTTCATATCATAGAAGTGAAAACATTAATATTTTATAGCTCTGTCCTTAGGAAGGTTAGATAAAGAGTTTTACCACAGATAAATAATGAACTCAATATAACTAATAATCATTAAACTAACAACTTAATGGATTTAACTACAAATAAACGTTTAAAAACGTGCATAAGTTACAAACTCATTTAACATGGGATCTCGTGAAACCACTCCGAGCACATTGTTTTGATAATCATATTTAAATTTACTTTGGAAATGGATACTCAGGGTGATCTTCAAGTAAATTAAAAAATCCAACCATTCCTCGACCACCCAATATTCTTCCACCTTCCCCGCGGTCCAAAGCGCTTATCTTTTCGAATTCTTCTTCTGTCAATTTAAAATCGAAAATCTAAAAAAACAAAAAAAAAATATTAGTTTTATCATATCATAAAACTATTTAAGTTTTACAACGTAACTTACATCAAAATTTTTCTTGATTCTGGATGGATTGGTACTTTTTGGAATAACTGCTACTCCGTATTCAATCAAATATCTCAAGAGGACATGGGAAGGCTGTTTGTTATGATTCTTCGCAATTTCTTTTATTACAGGATCCTCCATGGGATGTAAAACTCGTGCTCTACAATATATGAAATTTTATATTATTTTAAAAGGTATTACTAGCCAAAATTTTATTATTTACATTTTTAACAGATCGTAAATCAAGAAATGAATTTTAAAATCGAAGAATAATAACATTAAAAAATAAAAATATAATATACTTGTTTTTAATATATTTTTATGGCGTTTAGATCTAGATTACAAAAATTGAAAAACTTAAGATATTCACCCTTCAGTTGAGATGCCACCTTTTTCCAAAAATGTTTTGTAGCCAGAAGATCCCAACGGCGAATAGGCGACAACAGTCACGCCATTTTCTTTGCAGAAAGATACCAACTCTTTCTGCTGGAGGTTGATGTGCAATTCCACCTGAAGGTTTGCTGGGCGAATGCGACAGTTGTCGAGTATTTTTTGAATTTGGTTTTTATTGAAATTAGAAATACCTATGTTTTTTGTTCTACCTTCATCAACTTGAGCTTCCATACCCTAAAAAGTATTATTGATTGTATTTATCAACTCATATAAAGTTATCATAGTATAACAAATCATCAACCAGCAATAACCTATATCACTGTCATAATATCTTTAGCAATAGCATTGTACTAAGAAAAACTAATTATTTCGAATAGAAACAATTAAGTCATCAGTCAAGTTATAGGTTGCGTTAAATTTGATATTCATGATTTATGTTGATCAACATCATCTCGATGCAGGTCATTACTTGATTTACGGTGCCTGATTGCATCTTCAAGCTGGTAAATTCCAGAATTTGCTACTTAAGAATGAAAGGGATTTTTTTTAAATTATAGCCTTTTCAGCGCCCATGCACCCGCGAAAATGTCAGATGAAGAAGAGCATCTGGAGATCGCGCACTGTAAGTTCCAGAGAGTTAATGAGTTTACATATCAGGGATCTTGGGTAAACAGAGAAAACTATTGCTTTTTTTGCCTAAATAAGCATTCCAAAAGTAAACTCATCTCTTGTTGCACAAAGACACAGCTTTGTAAAACGCTAAAACGCTCAAACGTCCGAAGCGTGGACCATGACGCAAGGAGACGAGCGAGCCCTAGCATTTGAGCGGAAGGTGCTCCGCAGAATCTGTGGTCCTGTGCGCGATGAACAGAATTGGAGGATTAGACATAACACAGAACTCTACAATCTGTTCAAGGAGTCGAATATCATAAGAACCTTAAAGCTTGCAAGACCGCGATGGGCATGGCATGCGGCTAGGATGCAAAATGATGAAATACCCCAAACAACTATGGAGAGCAATGAGCAATGCTCTAGGAGAGTAGGAAGACCACGGCAGGATTGTGTGGCAAGGGATGCAGGTGCAATACTTAGTGTACGTAACTGGAAAGCGGCTGCACAGGATAGGGACGCCTGACGGACACCTCTTGAAGAGGCCAAGACAATCATGAGTTGTAGTGCCGTGGAAGAAGAAGAAAAGATTGTATCATACAGCCGCGGATTAAACCGTAATTGGTTTGAGGATTCGCGAAGGGTGGCGAGGTCATGCTGTTGTCTGTTATATTTCCGTTGTTCTTGGAGTGCTTTGGAAGGAATTGAATCTAAGCGAAACTGATTTTTTGTTAGACACTGGAGACCTGAATGTAGTTGTAATCAGAAATATATTCGAAATAGAAACTATATGATATGGTATAAAATTTACCTTCCATAGCTCCAAAAGATCGGTACTACGGTCTATCATAGGTTTTCCGTCATCATCGGTAGGGAAAATATTTGACATATCTTTATTCACCATCCCTGCTGGAAAATGGACCAAGTATAGGTCCAAGTAATCAAGCTGCAAGTCTTCAAGTGACTTCTTCAGAAAGACTTCAACATCTTCGTATCTATTACCCGGCATTGGTAACTAGGAAATAACAAATCTAATGGATTATTATTTGCAAAAAAATGAATACAGATTTAATTAAAATTGAGGATACCTTTGTGGTTATGAAAAGTTCTTCTCTAGTAATTTTACCACTTTCGAATATCTTCTTAAGTGACGACCCAATTGCTGCTTCGTTGAAATAAGCGAAGGCAGTATCAATATGTCTATAACCTGCATCAATTGCCGCGTTCAAAGCGATGTCGATTTCTTCTGGGGTCGACTGAAGAATATAATTACATATTTTCATATCACTTGTTGAACATTGTTTAAATAATTTTAAAGAAAAAATATTGTAAAACGATTCTCAAGAAACATGTGAGCCAGGTAACCGCAGCGCAAATGAGATATCTAAGAAAAGAAGCGGGTAAAACCAGATGGGACTGTGTAAGAAATGACAGCATCCATGCTACATTGGAAGTAACATCAGTCATAGTTGAGTGACAGCTAAAATATAGTTTGGCAAATATATAAAGAAATATACGTGGTATGAAAATGTCTGTAGGATGAAGGATGACCGAAAGATCATATTAATGTTGCCTAATATCGGTCTTGGTCTTGGTCCAAGACCGCCTAATTGTTGCAAGATCGAGACCAGGACTGGTCAACAAAAACTCTTACATTCCAAGATGGGGCTTATCACGATCTTTCTTAACAATGTCTTTCAGGGGTGCCCATCCGTCCTATGATTGATGGTTCAAGAACCTGCCCTCCCCCTCCTCTTCCAAGATATTTTATTATTTATAACAGAACAAAGTAAAGTATAATTTAAAAAAATCGTAGATCATAAACAATTAAATTGCAGTCTGTTCCATCTTTTATCCTTGTCTGAAACTTTTCTTTCCGGAAATTCATAACCTGTTCCTTCCTAAAAAATCAAATATATGTCTCGCTCAAAAATTTTTATAGCGCAAATTAAAAGCCATAAAATCTGTTGTAAATCCTTTCCTTAAAAACAGAGTAAAGTAAACTATAATTTTAAAAATCGTGGATCATACACAATTAAATTATAAAACATCATAAAATCACAAAAACTGTTGCCTGATATTTTGGGCACCCCTGATGCCTGAAATGTATTGTGAAGTTAATTTTATTGGACTTAATATGTTTACGTCAATAAAAGATCTAAACATTTTTTTTTTTTTTTGTAGCTTTTTCTAAGATTTAAAGTAACATATTAAATGAATAGCAATAAGTTGTAGATGACTTCAAGACTCTTGCGCAAGAACAAGACCAAGTCTGGTATTAATAATTAAATTAGTAATAATTGGGCTACACTAGGCCCGATAGCTGATGGAAGCAATGCCAGTATAAAAGTCGCGGTTGCTCGATTGGTACAACACCGGAGAATGGCTACGATGGTCGGAGGCACTCCATGGGTAGCAGCACTAAAGAGATTATGAGGAAAAAAATCAAAGTTATCATCATTGTCAAAGTGTTTATTATCATATGAAACTCTTAGCTTAAAATGAAAACTAATGAATATTTAAATAATAATTGGATCTTATAATTTTATTTAGGTCTACGGTCCAATACTAATAGTCTAATACTAGAAATTATACAGGTTTTATTTTTTATTGTATTTTTTATTTTTATTTTTTTTTTAAGACAAACCGTTCAAGGAGTTCTAAATGTAGAAAAAACCGCTCAAATTAATAAAAACAAAACTTGAAAAGAATCAGATCGTTGTCGATTCAATGGAAATACTAATTTATGTAAGTATTAAAATGTAAGAGAAAAAAGAGAATAAATAAGTTCAAGTAACATAAAGCTTACAAATATATCGGATTAAAATTATAACTAAAAATATAGAAGTAAATTAAAAACATGATTTCAAGTTAAATTATTTAGAATAAAAATGAAATTATAAATTTTTTGATAGAGAAGAGTAAAAGTGCTAAAAATATATTAAATTTTGAAATATAATATATCCAAAACATAATCAAAAGTCTTCCGAATCCAATGATTGGCATAGTCTAATGATATTCACTCATACTTCCTTAAATTTTCGTTTAATAAATAATATTTTTAAAAAGAGACTTACCATCCATGTCCCTAAACCAATAATCGGCATTCTCATGTTGCCTACGCTAACAACACTGTTCGGGGTAAGTCTAGTCATCTTAGAACAACTATTTGGAAAGAAATAGGAACGACTAGAGGCAGAACAACCCAAACTAGAAACTTTAATAGCGCTGTATGTAAAAAGCTTTGATCTCGAATTGCGATCGTTATGGCAGTGGAGGGGGTTGAATAGGTCCTTCTTGATTGATTGCTACCATGGCCACTGTCAAGGTGTATGTTTTTATTAGGTGCAGGTATTTTTATCAAGTTTCCACAGTTAAACGATTTAACTTAACTAGTGTTCGCCAAGTGGTCGAAATTCGACTGTAATAATTATTGAAAATTTGAAGAAAAAATAAATGAATTTCCGAATTCCCTAAGCCTGTATCATAGTAAATACCAATTTCCTAATAAATATTCATTATCACCATATTAGCTAAATTCATACCCTCTATGAAATAGCTGATTGTTACTCTAACCATATTAAAATATATACTGACGCTTTTAAGACAACCGATGCTTGGTCAATAGCCGTTCATGACCCGTAAAAAAGATTGTATGCCATGCTGTCTTATTCTATGCCAAACAGCTTCAGTATTTTTCATGCAGAACTTTTTGATGTTTTTAAGGCTGCAGAACATACTAATCTACACTATAAAAAGTGTAATATAGTCGTTCTCACAGATTCAGTCTCAATATACTTCAATGTACCAATGCCTACAAAATGTACACAGGACCTGAATCGCTAATTATATTCTATGTAAAATTCTTGATTTCATTCCAGTGGGTACTAGGACATGTGGGTCTACACGGAAATTAAAGTGCAGATCAAATTGCTCGAAATACTACCAATGCAATTTGAAATAATTCTAAAGTACCCAAAACAGACATTTCCGCTCACTTAGTAACACAATTGTCAATGAATGGACGAATTGTTATGAATGGGACTCTCAAATCAAAGGGAGAGACCACTATTTAATCCACCCAAAAATCTCTTTAAAACCATAGTTCGCCTCTATCAGAATATGCTTAGAAAGAACTGAGGTGACAACTCTAATTAGCTTCCAATCATGGAAACACAAACAAATTATTAAATTTGATAAAAATAAAGACAACACAAGTATGATCTATGTAACTTAGTCGATGATCCAATATATTTAGCGATACACCGTACGCTAAACAGCAACGAGAGGAGAAAATATGTCGAGGAGTCAGCACTCAATATTCTTAATAAAATAAAGGGAAAAACCGAGAACAATATTAATATAATTAGAAAATTCATTAAAAAATAATATTATGGCTTTAATACCTAAATAAATATAAGTATTCATACATTCACATTTACATGTGAATAAATGACATAGCAAATAAAAATGTGAATCCATCTTAGTTTTTTTTTCCAAAAAAAATATTTGAACCCACTTTCCTCATCCAGCGAAAATTTGAGGCAAACAATTTTTATTTTTAAATTAGTAAAAAAATCGTATTTGAGGGTTTTCAAGATGCGAAATACCAACCTCAATTTTGTTATCTCTTCAAAAATATTTTAAACAGTTTTGGTCGGGAAAAATTATTTCATTTCAATATTTCACTTATATTATAGCTATTTTTCAAACATAAATTAGTCAGAAAGAGCTCTCCTAAAAAGATGCAACAAACAAATTATATTATCTTACATAATTCCTTTCAATTTTGATGATTTTTTTTTCATTTTGTATGGAATTCAGAAAGATTTCAAATAAAATGTGGGTATTATGAATCAAAACTTGTGTACTTGTTGAGTAATTTGCAAATAATATTCTGAATATATCGTAACAATTTACGCAGCTGGTTTTCGGTGAAGTATGTTTTATGTATATATATAAATCATACTCATCATATATATATATATATATATATATATATATATATATATATATATATATATATATATATATATGATATGATATGATATATATATATATAAATTATAAAGGCTTCAAGGGGAAGATTTCAGCCAAGTTTTATTAAAATCGTTGCAGCTATTTTGGAGCTATGGTCTGAAGCGAATCGAGTTTTTGGCCCAGTTTCGAAATGAAAAGCCGGCTGATAATGATATATATAAACAATCCTGAATCCGATAGAACGTAATGTCAACATTTCAAAGCAAGTGGTGAAGAAGTTTTGGAGATTAGCGGTTATGAACTAATTAACATTTATTTTCTTATTTATATACTCTATTTCATATTTTTAGTTATTAAATCTCTCATGCCTCTAATGCAAATCCTTATTTTATCACAACACATCTGTTGATTGTCAATACCATGACAGGTGCGAATACGTACTTAAGGAGGAAAAAAAATTATTGATAGCACTAAAGCTCGTCAATAGCTACTAAACAAAAAATTAAAAATAAAATCGGTTGAGAAAAAAACTGAATCCTTTCGCCATTGTCTATTTATATAATGATATATATTATTAAATTTTTAATACATGCCTAAAAACGGCAAAATATTTTAATCTTTTTTCGTTTGGTATTCAAGCAATTATAAATTTTTAAAGAAGACGCTCAAAGCAGCAATGTTTTTTAATCAATAACTAATACCGTTTATACTCTTATCTGATAGTTTTAGGCTGCCCAAGCCTGCTTCAGTTGCTCATATTTCCATAATAACAATGCAAATTAGTTAAAGGGTTTACTGTTATAAAATAATTCATCGTACCATTGCTTATTACCAGCAAAGATGATACATATTTACATAGAATACTAGTAAAACCCAAATCAATCGATCAATTAAAGGATCCACACCCCTTACATTCGAGTGCTATCAATATAATTGATATTATTTAACAGCTCTATTAGTGAAATTCATTTCGCAAAAAAATTAAATTTGAAAAATGATGAATTATCCTTTATCACTAATAATAATGTTAATTAAGACAAATAGTAATATTTCAAGAGATAAATAGGTTACCTCTGATCATGAAAAAAAAATCACACAACTTTCACTTACCGCTCTAGTTTGAATGAAAATTATTTTCTAGCAATGTTGGGGTAAAATAAAATTTTTAATGTGCATTTGAAACGGAGCCAAAGCTTAAAGCTTACAGATAACAAATCATTAAGACCATTAAAATTACAAAAAGTCCATTTATTGTAGGCATTTTATTGGTAGGCAATAAAAATCTAGTTTTATAAACCACATGACTTCAGTTGCTGATCATTTCAGTTGACAGAATGACTAATTCCAATTTCAACATTTTAGTGATATTTCTAGTTGGGAAAGTTATACCTATACAAACAGTGAGCAAGTTGATTCCAGAGTAGATGATTGCAATGTTGAAATATAGAACTGTGAATAAAGGTATACATTTTGCCACTAGATACATCACTAAAATTAATAATAAAGAATGTTAAAATCGGAGTTAGTCTTTCTGACAAACGAAAGGTTCATATATGTCTAGAGAGTTTTAAGAGAATATCAGAATTATCAGGATATTTAACCTAAAAATGATTATGAATCGCAGGACTATTAGCTATTAAACTGTTATTTTCCATTGTAAAGTTTACAAAAATGAAATTAGGAGATTTTCATTGTCTGCCATGAATAGGTCAAAAGTTGTCACACTAATTGTAAGTGGATAATGTTGGGATTTCAAAAAGGGAAAATTCATCAAATTATTCACTAATTTAATTTTCTAAAAGGTTACTTGATGATTTTTTTTTTTGATAGACATGCAATATATACCTAATTATTTAAATATAATATCATATTTAGAGTTATTAA